TTTTTAATAACAATTAATTTATTTTACTATGTTTTCTGCACTCCTATAACAGCGCCAGACAACACCTCCAGAGGAATGACGCCAATTTTGAATCACCCTGTATTTCTTTGTTGTTTTATTTTTGTTTTAAGTGAACGAAGAACATTGGCAGAGGTTCCTTAGTTCGATTCTGCTGGACGTTCCAGACACTGACAACTTCATGCCCTAATTGTTCTTTGTTTTCTTTAATTTCTTCTGCATCAGTAGAAGCATGAACGTTTTGCAAAAACCACCTGGAAATTTTTCTCTTGTTTGGGTTTGTATGTATGAAACTGCGTTTTTTTTTCGATCAATGCTTTTGTAATCTTAGAATATATTTCTCCTGTATTCGGTTGGACTTTGATTTGCTCCATTCCTAGAGCTTAAGTAGGGTATTGATCTTTAGCAACATCTTTAACAAGCTTGTTAATGGGTTAATATTCTTGACACCCGCAATAAATATTATTGAATATATATAATGAAACTAGCTGTGAATTTCTTCCTATTTAAGAGTCATGATTGTTTTGAAAAAGCAATCGAGTTAATCCACTTTGAGCAAGTGAGAAATTTTAGTTTTAAGTGTCTTGGTTCAAAAACAAACAGAACTTAAAATTTGGTAGCTCGAATCAACTGATTTTTTTGAATTGATGCACTACACACCTTTTAAACATTTTTGAGCTTTTTGCAAAATATTATAGCATTTATAACTTTTGGACAAAAAATTATTTGAAAAGTACACAAAATGTACATTTGGTGAATGCGCCAAATGAAGTACCTAGTGAATTTCAATTAGTAAATCGTAGTCAATAACCGCATTTTCGCTAAAAATAGTTCTCAGAAAAGTTGCTAATTAAACTATTATCTGTAACAGTGGTTCACAAACTCGTTTGGCTCAGGTACTCCTTTTCATTGTCAAAACTTTCTTACGGGCTGTGGACTGGGTAAAACACTACATAAATGCATGATGGAGAAATTCAAAATTTAACTTTGATGTCTTGAATGGTAAACGTAAAAATAAATTATAATTAAAACATTTTGATGCATATGTATTTATTGAAATTATAACTTGTTTTAAATTGCAAAATAAATTAATGACTTGGATGAACCTGATGAGATATTATGCGTGTATTTATATCCGGCTCAATGTTGTGAGTAGCAACCGCAAGCCCCCACGAGTACTAACGTCTAGTAGGTGGTTTAATTTTTTTTTGCGACGAGGCTCATAAGGGCATTCAATCCAAGTTCTACCAAATAGGAAGACGGAAAAGTACTCAAAAGATTCTGTACAATAAGAGTAATAATAAGTAATAATGCTGGATACAAAATTAGGATCTGCTTGTGTACCAAAAAATTTTCGTATCCTTGTTTTTAAGATTGGTTTGAGCTACTCATTTATGGATACTTCAATAAGTTGCTCCTGTATTTGTATGTATTCATCTGCATTTGTGCTCTGAGTTCGACTAGAATTATATGGTCACTTATGCCGACTATTCTTATAAATTAAGACGTAGTATCGTTTCTGCTAGGATCAGCTGAATTTAACTATAAAAAAAGCCTCTGCAGAAACGAGAATTCAGTCATTAGATGTTTGGTTAGAAGTCATAAGAATTAAGTCTAAAGATAGTCTAAAGTCAGTCTACGGTTAGGTTCGGTCACATACATTTAAAATCCATATTATAAAATTGTAATAATTTCACAATTCATCAACTATCTTTGATTTTCCCAGATGAATGTATAGTTAAAATCAAAAATTTTAAATCTACGATTCTCAGAAACCAGATACATTCAGAATAAGACTTTAAATGAAAAATTGAAAGAAGAAATTGAACGTTTACAAATAAAATAATTACATTTTGAAAACATTCGAGAAGACTTAGAAGATGTTCGAAAACTAAACACTTACCCTCTCACAAAGTTCAGTGTTGCTAATGGAAGTATTCCTTAATTTAACTTCAATATTAATTGTAATTATTATTATATGTATTACAATATATTATTATTGTTATAGCAGGAAAAGACAAGTAAAAGTGGACATAAATTTGAAAACCCTCGAAAATAGATGAATACAATTCTAGTATGAGCATGTTATTAACTTCACAAGCGATGGGCGATAAAGTAGAAAATTACCATAAGCTGTACCAGCTACAAATATTTTTCTACTAAGTTCAAGGCGATCCTGTACAGTTGTGAGGGTTCGTATGTATTAAAGACAAGGGAGTAAAATCTTACCTGATATATCCGATGTTAATGATTTCCATTTTTCCCAAACGTTGAAGGGATATGGACCAAGAAACTGATCCAGAGCTTGTATATTTTCCTTGAGACCCACTACCTCAGCTTCTGAAATAATTTCCGAACTGACACCTTCATGTAATTTGCTCCACTTCTTCACAAGTAATTCCCCCTTTTTAAAGTTGTGAAAAAATCCACAACGAGGAGCTACATCTCCAGTATTACTGACTGAACTGTAGAATACATAATGCAAGCCTGGTGGGATCATTTTCACTCCCCGAAATTTCTCTCCTGTATTCCAGGATTTTAGGTCAATACCAAATTCGGTTCCTTCTGGAACACCTAAGAAAATGAGAAAGGCACCTTCTCGGAAGAATTTTCTAGCTGTGGCCTGATCAATTTCCATGGTACTTAATCACTTCGCACAATATTCAAAAATATGTTCCCCTATTCAGATAAATTAATATTTATTTGAGCTATTTGCATGTCGCCCATAAATCTTCTAAAACACTCAGTTACTAATTAAACTTCGAGAATTCACATACCAAGTCTATGAAAGCTCTAACCTAACTAATTGGGAGTTTAGTTATTTGGAAACAAAACAATAACTCCACTTGTTCAACCATCAAAGCTGCAGGAGGCGCAACTGCTAGCATAAACAGGGTTTCTGCTTTATCACATATTAATATTGAAAGTAATTCTGTACAACGCGTGGCGCTTTTGTAAATTTTTTGATTAGTTTCGATCGATTGATTATTTCCTTTTTATTAGTTTTGGTTCGATTGGCCGACGATTTTTTGCTTATGTTGGCGACAATGTTTTTGGAATTGGCGACTGGCGATTTTTTGGGGATTTCTCTTGGTTTTGTGATTTCAGAGTTTTCTATTAGCGTGATACAAAATAGTAGTATAAGCTTAAAGATCTAAACGCTAAACGTATCTGAAAGCTAAAGCTTAAATCATAAACCTACGCATATTAGAACCTTATGCTTAAACCCTTCGAGGAAGTAAAGCATATATGATTTTAGATAATCGAATAATCGAGAGATATACCAGCCAAAAGATATGTTTATAAAAAGTAAAGACAAATTCGTTAAATTTGTCTTAAAAAGGGTAAAAACGCATTTCTATGCACATAAAACACAATAATGCTGTTAGAATTTTAATCCTACTACTGATATGATTAAAGATTTTACATCAAATGTAAGAAAGTTTTTAGGCCCCTTAAGGCCCATTTTCATCAAGCGATCTTAAACCAGTTTAACGTCTGAAACTCAGTTTGACGCGCGAAACCTTTGAATATAAAACTAACAGGAAGGAGTCTACGGTCAAATCAGTGCGACCGGAATGGAGGTTGGATATGGCCGACCAGGCGGCCGCTTTGGCAGTGGCGTAGGGCATTAGAATATGATAAAATGTGGAAAATATAGTATACACTGATAATATATTTGATAAAAAAATGGGTTCAACATAGGTTAATCTGTTGTAGTGAATTAATGAAGCTTGACGAGATTATACACATCCTTAAATTGGATTAATATGTAATCTTAATAGCGTCTAATTTAATTGAATTTGATTGAATTTAATTGAAATGACCATTGAATTTAAAAATCTGATTAGTTTAAAAACAGGTGGCGGGGAAAGGCTAAATAAAAACAAACCACAATTACAATATATTAAGGAATTTTGAATTATTACAAGTACTTCCATAATGTAACATAAACTTATATTAAATTCTGCAGTCTATATGGTTAGGTACTTTTAATTTTTTTACTTTAAAAATTTACGTAAATTTAACTTATTAACTATAACTATGTATTATATATAAAATAAAGTAATTTTAGTTTTTGTACACTAGTGTTAAATTATAAAGTATATATTCTTTCCTAAGAATTTCACATTTATAATAATCTTAAGCAAATATCTCAGAATAATAATATTAATCTTAATGATCAGCTGAAACCCCAATTTCTAATTTTTTAGCTTTTTTTTAATTTAGAAAATATTGAGCCCGGAGATCGCCTTATCAATTTTAGGTTCCAGAAGGAACATATTCCGAACATATTATGTTATGGGTTAGAAGTTAGAACCTGTGCTTGCAATGTTAGTAGTTTTGCCAAAGTTAAAATTTGCCCAAACAATTTCCACATAAAATCCGTAATTACGCAATAATGGCTTAAGTTAATCAATGAAAAAGTCTTATTTCAATTTACAAAGATTTATTATTCTATTATAGCCGCCTATTTTATTAATAATAGAAATAAGTCCAATATGTCAACACCGTCGTTCTGCTTTTTAACGTTATCCTCTAATAACGGAAACGGTTATTTCTTTACTAATGCGCATGCTCAGAATAACGGATAACGTAAAACGTGTTGCAATTAAGGGGGCTAAAAACTCCCTGTATTGACAAATCAAGAACGAAATACGGATAGTAATGTCAAAACGATTGGTTGAACGCTGAAAACTGATTGACGCATGAACAAGAAGAAACTGAAATTTTAGACCTAGTTGGAGAAGTTGTTGTTTGTTCCTTGCATTAGTATAAGTGAAAATTACTGGATTTTTAAAAATTGTTTATTTGTCTCAATAATATGTTTTAGACATACAAGAATACATATATAATTTCAATTCAACTTGTTAGAAAAAATAAAGTTATTGTTTAATTTAAGTCGTTTCGCTCTGTTTTTATTGGTTCACCCCGTTTGAATTTACTTGGCGCCAAACCTGGCGATTTTTAAGTCTATAGTGGCTTTATACAAGACAGTGGCGACAATAAGGCCAAAGCTCCTCCCATTCGTCATTATGGGTCGAATCAATTTGGCACCAACATATTTTGCATTGATCTGTATGGCTCAAGCCTTTTTCTTTAATTTGAAATAATTTCCATAATATAAAACATTTTGTGAGTAAATTAGTAAAGTTTAAAGATGAGTTTGTCTATATAAAATGCCTTTCCTTGAGAGTTAAATCAGCTGAATTGAGATGCAATTCAGCACGTAAAAAGAATTGTTCTCAGCAATGGAAATTTAGGTTATGTTTAGGTTTTCAGTCTTGTTCGTTCCTCGTTATAAATCAAACGTTTGTTTTTAAGCTAGCGTAACTACTTGTAACCATTACTGAGCAATGTTTATTGTCTAGGTCCCAGTTATTAAAACACACACAACCCACATTATAAGACATTATTTGGCTTTATTCAATAAAATCCCATAATAATTTCTGACGTCTAGACGCAATATGATACTCTATAAAATTTAGAAATTAAGAGCGAAAAACTACAAATATGTTAAGTAAAACGAAAATAGCTCCATAGTCTGCATAGTAAATACAATAATTTCTACACCAAAATGGCGAATTTAATCACGTGAAGGCCTTAACCAATAGAAAACCCTTTGAATATTATTATTATTATAAAACTATATTATTATAAAACTAACAGGAAGGAGCATTCCGAACTATCCTTGAGAGAAAGCGCAAGACGAAAGCGGCCATGTTGAACATCCACGTATGACTCATCGTTAGTTTGATGGTTCCGTGTTCACGTCATTCGTCGTTTGCCGTTAATAAAATATGGTCAGTTGTGTATCGTGTGGTTGTTCCCTAACACCAAAACATAAAACTTGTGGTGTAACATTTCACAGGTAAGTGTTTGTAATCCTAATTAAATGTTTAAAAGTGAAAAATTTATTCGAATGACATTTAGGTTAATCTACGAATCACAACATATTACATAGGCGTAGCTTAGGGTAACATTAATATCGTTCTGTGTTAATTTAGATGTAATTAGAAATTGGGGTTTCAGCTGATCATTAAGATTAATATTATTATTCTGAGATATTTGCTTAAGATTATTATAAATGTGAAATTCTTAGGAAAGAATATATACTTTATAATTTAACACTAGTGTACAAAAACTAAAATTACTTTATTTTATATATAATACATAGTTATAGTTAATAAGTTAAATTTACGTAAATTTTTAAAGTAAAAAAATTAAAAGTACCTAACCATATAGACTGCAGAATTTAATATAAGTTTATGTTACATTATGGAAGTACTTGTAATAATTCAAAATTCTTTAATATATTTAATATATTGTAATTGTGGTTTGTTTTTATTTAGCCTTTCCCTGCCACCTGTTTTTAAACTAATCAGATTTTTAAATTCAATGGTCTTCAATTAAATTAGACGCTAGATAATTCCATATTAATCCAATTTAAGGATGTGTATAATCTCGTCAAGCTTCATTAATTCACTACAACAGATTAACCTATGTTGATCCCATTTTTTTATCAAATATATTATCAGTGTATACTATATTTTCCACATTTTATCATATTCTAGTGCCCTACGCCACTGCCAAAGCGGCCAACTGGTCGGCCATATCCAACCTCCATTCCGGTCGCACTGATTTGACCGTAGACTCCTTCCTGTTAGTTTTATATTCAAAGAGAAAACCTGACTACTATTGTCGCCACTGTCTTGTATAAAGCCACTGTATTTAAGTCTACGTTTGGTGTTTTTTTCGATATTCGTCCGGTAGTTGGCGACACCGCCATTTCTCAGTCTGGCCACCCTGGTTAGGAACCTTACTTTTGTCTGTCATTTTGAAATTGAAACGCGCTTGAAACTTGAAACCATTCTGAAGTTGCACATGTGATAAACTGGTTAACTGAGAAACAGGTTAGTTATTTATTTGTTTGATAATATTTATTTTTAAATCAATGTTATATATTTTTAGACACTGGCTTGCTTGATGCGTGAATATATGTAGATTTAATCATGAATGAACACAGTTCGATTAGAGCAATGGATGGGGTTAAAAATGCTTTTAACAGTTTCGCCGATGTTATTGATAAGGACATGAAAGGAGTTCATGTAAGTTGATAACATATCACTCTTTACAAAACCATTAATTGTTTGTAATAATATATTTTTGTTTAGTAACTCAAAAGCGAAATCCGGTCAGTTTTCATTCTACAATTGGTTGGTTACGTTTCGTTACGTATGCTTATAATATGTATTCCTTATTCATACAATTTCTTATTCATACAATGCCCAATTGTAAAATATGTAGAGCAGTCTTGATAAGCTAAAACCTTCTTCAGGAAACAACCACGACCTGGACACACCACGATATAACGTTATTTAAGTTAATAGCAAACCTATTAACGTTTATTCCATGCTTTACTCATTTTTAACATGGGATTTGTAAAATTAACAAACATTCAATCAAGGGCTATTGGGGCTTATTTAGAGACAGAAAGCTTTTCGATAAAAGAAACATGTAATTCGGTAAACAAAATTCCATAAGCAGAAAGCAAACGTTTGATAAAATGATCAAATCATTGAATTTCACTGAAATTATCAAATCGACATATTAAATAAAAACTAAAAATAATTAACAGTGCACACACACAGGGTGGTTTTTTAGTGCGATAGAGTCCATTATTAACGATGGTGTTGAACTTTCGAAAAATAGTTTCATATAAAAGTTGTTGATCCACAAAGTGCGCACATTTCAAAAATATCTTATATGATACAGAGTGTACTCAGAAAAGCTAGGCAACATCAAAGTGTATTTTTTAAATAGAACTGCCCATTTTTCATTAGCTCATGGAATGCAGCGTTTCAAACGCTGCTTGAAAAGACCGTAAATTGTTTTTTTCTTACTTGCGACGTTGGCAGATTATCGCCATTTTAGTAAAATTTTGCTTAAAAACATGGAATCTAAAAATTCATTGTAGAAGCAAAAAAAAACAGTTAGAGATACAAAAATACGTCTTTCCAATCACCACAGATCCGTTAAAAATTATATTGAACCAAAATATCAATACATTGTACAGGGTGTTAACAATGTGGACTTCAATCTAAAACTTTTTAACCCAATATAACTTTTGTTTTTCAAATGGAAGTACCTGTATATTAATACGTCATTAGATAGACAATTTATAAAGTTACCAATTTGCATTTACACTTTAAGCTGGGAAATCAACCGTTTTCAAATTGTAATTTATTTTATTTAAAAATTTCAAAAAGTTGCTACATTTTGTAAGGTGACTATGGAAGTCAGTAAATAAGTGTCAAAATTTGAATTGCCGCGTTTAATTGATCATTTACCTAATTATATCACGGAAAGAATGTGGTATTTACATGATGGAGCTCCAGTTCACCATACAGCTCAAATTCATGAGTACCTAAATAATTAATTTCCTGAGAGGTGGATAGGCAGAGGTGGGCCTGTTCAGTGGCCACCTCGTTCACCCGATTTTACAAAAATGGGTTTCTTTTTATAGGCTCTCAAAAACGAAATTTATAAAATAACTCCAACTACAAAAGATGACATCAAGGATCGAATCACAACTGTTTTTCGAAGCATTAATAATACTGTTTTGAACTACGTTAGCGATTCATTTCAAAAACGTAGATTATAATAGTTTCTTAAATGTTAACGGAAATCATATTGAACATTTATTTTAAAATATCATTGTAGGTATAATTTTATATTTTTATTTTTATAGACGTATGCAGTTTTATTGCATTTTTTGCTATAAAATTCCATGCATTTTATAAAACGTTGCACTGTTCTTCATTGATTATGTCAAGTATCATCAAAATTTGACACTTATTTAATGAATTCCATAGCCAAGGTGGCAAATGCAGATTAATGTGACAAGGGGAGAGTTGGTTTAATTTCGAACGTTTGCAGTCAATTAAGTGATAAAAACCAATTCAACAAAATATAAAACATTTTTCTTCAAGAATCAGCAAGAATTTTGATTTATTTCTCTGACTGCGTGCAATTGTTATTATATTCTTTTCCTTTCTGGGTTTCAGTCACAGTGTGACATAAAAATTGGTATATCGTTTATTTCATAACGTTTCGGCGAGACAACAGCGCCATCATCAGATTTAAAATTCATGCAAACTCATAATTGGTAAACATACATTATACAGAAAGTGACAATGAGATAGACAAGTATAAACGGTAAATTCAACAGGAATCGTTGAATGACTGATCCTATTTCGAAACTCATAACCTCGAATTATTCATTTGTTTGCAAATTACAAAAACATACATTTGAGTCTGTAACTGCAAACAAGTGCCTGAGTAATCACCTTATTATGCACTCTTCTCGAGCCGCTTCTCGTATTCGGTTAATTAACTCCTGCTCTATTTATACGGTAGTTCAGTAATCCATTGGTTTAACGTGATCTTACATACGTGGTAGGAATGTAGCCTTTGCTCGGTATTTATTTGGTGCCTGGTAAAGTGTCAGTGGTTGTGCAATGTTCTGAGTGCTTGCGCTGGAAGGTTTTGCTGCAATTATGTCCAATACTTGTTCCTCCGTGTCTGGAACATGGACATCAATTGTCGTCCACTATCTCCCTGGAACCATTCTCCTCGCCCTTTGTTGACGTTAGTTCTTTCAGGTTCTGCTATGTTACTGTAGCATTTCCCCTGAACTAATAGCATATCCGCAAATTTGTGAAAGGAAATTCAAAGTAAATCACAGTTTGACAAATTGTTGTTATTATTAACAAGGCTATCCACCTGTTATAACATGGTTATAACCAATCTGTTAATGACAAAAAACATCATTTGGTGTTTGACATTGAAGAAAGATCAACCGCTTTGACTTTTCATCAAAAAATTGTAGAAGAGAACTTTTTTAAAATCAAAAGTTTTCGTAATTTGAAGCAAAGATCGTAATTGTTCTTTTTGAATGCTTAAGTATTCCAATATGCTTGCAATTAAACATGGAACACTTTCAAAATAATGCTTAATAACAAAATTGAAATTCGCTTTTCAATTATTAATATCTTCCAGAAATTACCGAAAAAAAATGTTCAATTTTTCTGGTATCTTCCAAGTGAGCCTTTATTACCCCTTAAAAGGAATGACGCCAATTTTGAATCACCCTGTGGGGTGATTCGAAATTGGTGATCGTGATGATTCAAAATTGGTATTTCAAAAATGATTCACGGGTGAGACGAATGTCTTGAAAAGTTTGCAAATTTTCGTCGAACTTTTTAAATGAACTGATGGGATTTAAAAACTGTCTTCAGTTTTTAGGGGTTTGGTCTGTCCTGGGTACCAATAAAATAGAAACTAAAATAAACATTACTAAAAACTGAGATATTTGCAAAAAATATATCACAAAATTGCCAGCAATGTATTTAATTTACACTTGTAAATGTAATTGTTTTCGTTAAATTACGTAGATGCTCGTTGAATTGCGTGTAAACCAACAAAGATAATGACTGAAACTCTTAAAACGTAAAAACGAGGTAGCTAACACATTAGAAGAATTTAAGGTTTCAAATACATGTTTGTACCCACTCAATTCATTGGATTCCCAAAACAGTTATATGTTTTGGAAACAGAACCACACATAACAGATCACTTCGAAACATACAGTGTAAGTAACATATCTCAGTTTAAGTAGTAATGTTTGTTTCTGATCTGTATTATGTTAACGCGAAGGTTTTGACAAAAGTTGATAAAACGGCAGAGATGTGTCTGATAGGGCAAGATCTAACCAACTTGTCTCGTCAAATAATATAATCTTCATACATGTTCTATATTGTACATACATTTTAAATTTTGAAGAGCACAACTTAATAATTAACGACAAATATAAACTTGAACCCTGCTTTAATACTTTTTCTTTTCAGATTGGATGCTATTCCGTTGCTCTGATTGGTTTGTCGATGGCAATTAGGAAAGTTCGTCCTGTAAGTACCTCAAACATTATTTAAAAAATATAATTACTTAACTAATAGAAGTTTTATTTTTTAAAAGTTTATTCTTTCGCAATGCACTAGAACATCCTAAATAGTTTTATTACTTGATTTAAAAGCAAGAAGTTTAATTGTTTGCCACTTAGTCCGTTATTGAAATAATAAAAAACGCAAGTCTAAAGTAGAAAAATATTCAGCGTGTTCCAATTAACACCAATGCATTGCCGCAGTGTTGAAACAAAACGATGGAAGGATTTTTAAAAATTTGATAATTATTAAATAGTTCTGTAGCCCATCTTATTTATATCGTCAAATTCATCAAAGTTTACTAGATAGATTTGTGCATAGTACATTTTCTTTAGCTTATTATACATATAACAAAAAAAACTGCCTTGACCAAGCCTACAAGTTTTGAGATCTTTAACTCACGTTACGAATATAGACACTACTGCTATAAGTCTTATATTTGCCATTATAGATTGCGACTAAACTGTTTCATTTTTGAGAAATATATTTTTATTGATAAATCAAGGACATCCTGGGCTAATTTTTTAAAATTATTTTCTAAAGTACAGGGTGTCCCAATTATTAAATTCAACCCAAAGTTGCTTTTGTCAAAGTAAAGTTTATCTTACTTAAAGCTGCCGATTTCTCAGATATTTGGAGATTTGCGAAAATAAAGACATTTTTTTTTAGTTTAAATTTTCAACACTTATTTCGAATTTTGAAATCAAATTCGACATTGCGGCTACTAATAGATGCCATTTTTACAAATTAGTAAAAGTTAGACTTAGACACACAGGGTGTCCCAAAAGTGTGTGTGAACAATTAAAGGCGCGTTTTCACCGGCAATAAGTTGCTTAAAGGCCGTTTTACAGTCGGCAATTTTATTGCCCGCAACTTTCTTGCATGCAATATTTCGTTCTACGCTTGCGCATTTTATCAGTTCTCGAGTTGCCGGCAACTTTTATCGACTTGCGGCTATAGTTCCAAACCTAAAATTCCTTGCAGCTAACCGCAATTTTAGTGACTTCTGGTTCTTTTTATGCTGCCAAATGTTCACTCATAGTAATATAAATCACCATTACTGGCATATTTGCTCATTTTTGTTTTCCATCGAAATAAACTCCAACTTATGTTAATCATAATAATTCCCTTGCCAATATAATTGCAACCTCAAACGAAAACAAGCTTTAGATTTTTCACATATAGTGAATAGTTGGTACGCTTGATCGATTTTTCTAAATGTGAAGTTTAACATTTTTTTTACAGCACACTGTAAAGCGGAATACTAAAATTATAGCTGCAAGAAAGTTGCGGGCAATAAAATTGCCGACTGTAAAACGCCCTTTAGTTATATGAAACATCTTGTACTTTACCACAGAAGTAGAGAAAAAATTTCATTTTCTATTGAAAATTATAAAGTATCCTATACCTAACTATGTATTCAGTTTTTCGCGAAAACTGCATATTTTTAGGATTGATGCGTTAAATATGGCATACAATTAAAACAAAAAATAACATTAATATTTTAATACATTATATGTGGATGATCTGTGATAATATATTTGCTTTGAACTAAAACTTTTTTATTAAGAATTTATTTGATTTATTAGTTCAGCAAATTCAAAAGACCGGGCGACATCCCGAACCATTTTATACAAGAAAGACGAGAACTCACCGGTCTCGTTAAGCGAATCGACCCTAATGGAGGTCTTCTTTTGGTGGAGCACAAACCTCTGCTGGATATTTCGTGGATATCATCCGGACAGCTTCCGATAAGAATCTCAGGCGTGAAGGTAGCTGGACTAGGTCTGAATTGGTTGCAGGCAATTGTTGTCGGAAATCAGATTAAATTTATTCCGGTTGCAAAGGATCCAAATTTTCTTCAATGTGAAGTTCTTCTGGTTCAGAATACAAAAGATGTAAGTACTATACATAATATAATCATATGTTTCCTGACATTCGATACCTTTTACATGCTACATATGAATTACTTAAAGTTGTGTTCCAGCTTTCTAAGAATCTGTTACACATTGAAAAATTACAACCAGAATTATGACGGCAAAATATATTTATCAATAAAATATTTAAATGCCCGTTAAAATATTAATTCATTGCAACATTTTTAGTCATAATTCACTAATTAGGAGTGGCACACAATATTTTTTACGCGAACATCACTTCAGTAAGAAACAACAATTTGGTTAAACCCCACCAAAACTAGGCGTTTGTGTTAACGTCGACGTTAGTTGGTTGATGTCCGTCTGGAGCTGTAGATAATTTTATATTCGGACATTAACCAACTAAACATTATTTTCTGTATATTAACTGGATAATATTGAGACTAAGATCATTTCGAACGTTAACCGTATCATATACAGGGTGATTCACGGTCGATGGCGTATTAGACGATTAAGGAGAACGCGATGCACGATCTATCTGCAAATGTGTACAACGGATATGCTCTATCGACATAAAATATTTTCAGCAATGCAACGTTGCCGCTTATACCGAAAAGCATACGCCCAATCTATCTGCAAATTTCTACAACGAAGTCATCGGATATGCTCTATCGGTCAAAAATATTTTCAGCAATGCGACGTTGCTACTTATACCGAAAAGTACATGCGACTTTGCTATTTTAAATGAGACACTCTATATATTATTGCACGCTTAGATTGGCAATATAGATCTGATTATTTTTGCATAACGATTCCTATATCTATCTAAAGCGGCTTCCGAAATATTAAATAAAATTCATTATTTTTAATCAAAACGTAGCCCCAAGGAATCTTGTATTACTGTAACTCGATTTCGATACCTGGAAATTTAAAATTGTGGTACTGGGTTAGGAAAACTCTATGTTTGAGTACGGCGTACAGCAATTTGTTCCAAATTATACAGGATGTCTTGAAAATACGAACCTTTCGGCTAGAGATAAAAACTGTTCCAATTACATTTTTTTCAAATAGAACATCCTGTATATTAGTTCAAATACGGGAAGACCGTTAAAATCTCTGTGAAACGATATAGCATGTTTCTATACCTAAAGCGTCAAATTTCCGAAATAAATGGACATTTTTGCAAAAATTAGACAGGCAGACATTTCATGGCTATTTTGATAAATACGTCGACATAATCGAATTTTTGCAAAAATGTCCATTTATCTCGGAAATTTGACGCTTTAGGTATAGAAACATGCTATATCGTTTCACAGGGAATTTAACGGTCTTCCCGTATTTGAACTAATATACAGGGAGTTCTATTTGAAAAAATGCAATTGGAGCAGTTTTTATCTCTAGCCGAAAGATCAGTATTTTCAAGACATCCTGTATAATTTGGAACCAATTTCTGTACGCCGGACTCAAGCATAGGGTTTTCCAAACCCAGTACCAAAACTTAATGAAAAAAAAAATGAATTATATTTAATATTTCGGAAACCGCATTAGCTCGATATAGGAATCGTTATGCAAAAATAATCAGATATATATCGCCAATCTAAGCGTGCAATAATATACAGGGCGTCTCATTTGAAATAGCAAAGTTGTATATGCTTTTCGGTATAAGCGGCAACGTTGCATTGCTGAAAATATTTTATGTCGATAGAGCATATCCGTTGTACACATTTGCAGATAGATCGTGCATCGCGTTCTCCTTAAACGTCTAATACGCCATCGACCATGAATCACCCTGTATATGTGGTACGTAATCCTTCCATATCTGCTGCTTGTTTATGTTTTATGCATTTTTATTTTTGTAGAAAAAAGAAGACCTTCTAAATGTCGGTGAAAGGCTAATCAAAATCGGATTTGGCCAAACTGAGCCCGTACAGCCTCCATTATCCTTTGATCCGAGATTTCTAATCTATTATAAACGACTTCAAAAGGCAGAAAGCATTGCGCTACGGAACAAATTAGGTTTAAAATACTACATTAAGCCTGCTAAATCTGCTTTAAGTGTTTTGATTGGCAACCTACGCGAACTGTCGGAAAGGTTTAGCCAAACAACCAGAAAACACATTAAAAATGTTCCCAACATATCATCGACATAACACAGGTTTTTTGTTGTAGCGAGTGAATGCATTTTGATTGCTTTACAATGTTTAGGCGTATATAATATTATTAAATTTTTCTTTTATACAAAAAGCTATTCAATTGATAATGATTTGATATATTGGTTTGGAGAGTCGTAACATTTTCATTATATTAGATATGCTGATTTAAATTGTTCCTATGTTGAATATACGTTTACATGAATTTGAACATTGCAACGAGTGAACTTGGAATACTTGCCTAGTTAGATATACCTACCCTTCAGTTTTTTAATTTAGTAAATTTTGTGTCCATTTTTTTATTATAATGCCATTATGTAGCCATAACGCACTAGGATAGATGCGTAAAAGTTTATGCTTCAGAAACTGTTACTGTGTATTTACATCATGTTCCACGTTTTTAACAATGTGAGAAATAGAATGTTTCTATAAATAAAGTTATGCGTTGTTACATAAGGATATCATTTATATAAATCGCCATTGCGAAAACAAAGTTCCTATTATGCATATTACACCTTTTAAAACTATGGCCGCCCTTTTGGCCAGACAAAGTTCGTTCTAGTAGGTAACTGTTTAAAAAAGGCTATTGGGAGGTCGAGAACCCTTAAGGCTAACGCTAGGTGGGTCGCCGCAAGGCAAATATCTAATGTCCCCATTGACAGCCTCGATTTCTCCGCGGCCTATCAACATAGGCGCGAAAGCTTCCTGGGTATGAGTCCGGACATTCATAGCCCAGGACTATTGAGGCTGGGGTGGCGCTTGTGGCCCGATTGATGCGGGTTCGGAGGACAGCTTCCCAGTGCTGTTCTTTTCGACCCGTTACCCGACCAGTTCTTGCACTAGTCGCTCCACTGCATTGGCCCACTGGTGGTAGGCACTAGAAAAGAGATGGGTTATATCTTTCCTAGAGCATGATGCATGGCGTGTGAGGTGAGCACCCTTCCTTTGTCGTACACTATCGTAAGGCACCCTGTATCTGGCAAAGATCTCGTCGTTCAGGATGTGCTGGAGATGCCAGCACCCTTCAACTCGAAAGCTTCGATCCATTTGCTGAATACATATAAGAGGCATTAACAGACATATAACAAGCCACAAAAGCACAATAAAGGAAAAAAAACAACTACAATAACTGAACTAAAATTATGAAGTCTATGGCTCGCGTAACTGCATGACGGAGAATTGCACCTCGGTTGGCTCGAGAGTTTTTTCTTTTCACGCACAATAGTACTGGACTCAAAATTTGTTCTTGCGTCTAGCACGGATTTTTTTAACTAGACATTACACTCGTACCGCTTCAGTGTGCACTTCCTTCGGGACTGCCTGCACGATCCTTTTTCCAGACCGCCCTCCAAAACACGTTTGTACCCTGACGCACTATTATGTTAAGGGTGTATGCGATATGTTCAAGGCAGTCGAAAAAAATATGAGTTAGTTCCACCACGCGGCACGCCATAATGTAAAATATAAGCAGTACTCATTTCCAGTAAACTTACATTTCCATTTCTTCCCGGGTATCTGTCCATTCAATTTTAGTGACCTCTTTGGTTAAATTATCAACTTAATACAGAAGTTTCCGCGATATGCTGAGAACGAACTGATTGACCACCATTCCGATTTTATTTAGTCGACTTGATGGATACTGGATGAAAAAAGTGGATCGAATTAAATTATTTTTAATTTACGCTTTCCATAATGCTATTTACTGCAAGTACATAGATGACGGTAACAAATAAAGCAAGCCAGGATTATACAAAATTTGTTGCTATGCTACCTATCTACCATTACACAATTAAGGGCCCACTATCCGGGACACTAATTACCAACTATTGAATAAAGTGATATTGTTAAATGCATCCGAATATCTACATGTATGCAAGTAAATTAAGCCGGAATTTGCAGAAAACGTGCATGTAATAGAAATACGAAAAATAAATATAAAATAAACTCAATTAACCAATAAGTAATTTCATTTAATTTAAGTGGTTGCGCATTGCACCGGTTGCCGTGATCCACCACCATGCATTTCATCATCCTCGTCGTAAGCGTTTTTATGTTGCCTGCGACGGTAAGCTTCTTGTTCAGCATCAAATTCCTCCAAAACGCATTCTTCTGCTGAATCTGGAATCATTACTTCTTTACGGGGCGGAAGACAATTTTCCAATGTCGGGACGACCGCGGGGTCAATAGTCTTTGGAAATTGAACCAAAAATTGAACAATAAGACGTCCCTTTTCGAAAGGATTTTTATATATTGGCATTCCTGGGGAAAGAAATTAAAATTATAATATTTGCACAATGGGATATCCAAGTCAGCCTACCTTCATTCTGAATACACTTTACATCCCCGTGCTTAATAACCTCACCAGGAAGTTGTGTAATAACCAAATCTCTGTTATCTAAGGTTTGAAGAACTTTCTGGAAACCACATAAGGCTTCAGACAACTGAATTTCCAATCTCAATATCAAATCGCTGCCAGATCTCTTATACACTGTGTGCTCCTTTTCGTCCAACACAATAATAATATCGCCCGGTTCTAGATCTGGTTCTTGATCACCTGGAATAAATTACATAGTATTTCGAATCACATAATTTACAAATACCTGGAAATACATCTTGACCATGTATTTATTAGTTAAGCTATAAAATGTAACTATCTTTCAAAAAGTACGTCGATTCCGCCACTATACAGGGTGATTCACGGTCAATGGCGTATTAGACGTTTAAGGAGACCCCGACGCACGATCTATGTGCAAATATGTCATCGGATATGCTCTATCGGCCTAAAATATTTTCAGCAATGCAAGGTTGCCGCTTATATGCGATATAGGCTTTAAATGAGATTCCCTTTATATTATTGATCAGACCTGATTATTTTTGCATCGCGATTCCCATATCTATCTAGAGCGGTTTTCGAAATATTAAATAAAATTTATTATTTTTAATTAATACATACCCCAAAGGAATCTTGTATTACAACGCGATTACCCGGAAATTTAAAATTTTGGCATTGGGTTAGGAAAAGCCCATGCTTGAGCCTCGCGTACAACAATTTGTTCCAAATTATACAAGATATCTTGAAAATACTGACTTTAGACTTAGAGCATCTGTAAAGCCAATCCAAGCATTCAATAAGCATGGTAGAAAATATTTTAGACCGATAGAGCATGCAAATTTCCAGATAGATTGTGCATCGCGTTCTCGTTAAACGTCTAATACGCTATCGACCGTGTATTACCCTATATTGAAATGGAATTAAATATTAACTCAGATTCGATATTATATAGATACGTATATGTATAATATTCAGTTTGGCATCGATTATTATTATTACTTTAGTAAAACTATGATGTAAATGTTGATAAAAACATACCTTCACCATTAAACACGATTTTTTGGCCATCAACCATGCCTTTATCCACGTGCACTTCTAGAATTTTCCTATCTCGAATTACTTTCTTGCCCTGGCAATGTTTGCAACGATCCTTAGGGTTAATAATTTCCCCTTGTCCACGGCATTCAGGACATACGGTTTGAATCTGATGCAGCATGCCAGGTCCTAGTTGTTGAACCTGCACCTGCATTCCCGATCCTCTACATGTTGAACATTGTTCAACTGCACCCTTCTTTCCACCACGTCCCTCACATTTTTCACAAATGACATTCTTTTGCAGAGCCAGCTTTCTAACAGTTCCTTTGTACAACTCCTCCAAAGTGACCGAAAGCTGATGAACAACGTCTTTGCCTAACAAAAAATGAAACTGACTATAGTACGAAAAAAATGTTTTGCGTTAAGGTAGTCTAATTTATGTTACTTGCAACAGATAAGATCATATTATTATAAATTTCATTCTTCAGCATTCAGCAACGCAAAAAAAATATATATATAAACGGTGATTCAAAATTGGCGTCATTCCTTTTAAGAAGTAATAGAGGCTCCCTTGGGGAGTACGAGAAAAATATTGAACTTTTTTTTTCGAAAATTTCTAGAAGATATTAACAGTTGAAGATCAAATTTCAACTTTGTTATTAATCATTATTTTGAAATGGTTCCATGATTAATTGGTAGCATATTGGAATACTTAAGCTTTCAAAACGAAAAATTACGAACATTTTTTGATAAAAAGGCACAGCGGCAATGACGTTTTTTGTCATTAACAGATAGTTACAGGTGGATAGCCTTTATCAATAATAACAATAATTTGTCAAACTGTGACTTACTTTGAATTTCCGTTCTCGAATTTGCGGATTTGCGATTAGTTCAGGGGAAATGCTAAAGTAACATGGCAGAAGCTGAAAGAACTCACGCCAACAAAGGCCGAGGAGAGTGGTTCCAGGAAAATAGTGAACGAGAGATGTTCGGGTTCCAGGCACAGAGGAACGCGTATTGGACATAACCGAATCAGGGCTTTCCAGGGGCACTCAGAGCACAATAATTGACACTTTCCCAAGCACCAAATAAACACCGAGGAAGGGCTACATTCCTACCACGTTTGTACGATACACACAGCACAAGGAGATACAAATGGAGCAGGAGTTAATTAACTGAATACGAGAAGCTGCTTGATAAGAGTGGATAATAAGGAGATTACACAGGCACTAGTTTGTTTGGAGTTAACCATTCAAATGTTTGGTGTTGTATGGCTTATTTTTAAACACCAATATTCCAGGTTATGAGAACAGGTTGACATTTTGTCAACAAATCTTGTTGAATTTACCGTTTATCCTTGTCTATATTATTGTCAGTCTGTATGATTCCATGGTTACCGGAGTTTTAAATAATTACGAAGCCAGAGGTATTTGCGCAATGTTAATTAGGCAGATTACCTTGGAAAACATTGCTGCCGTATTTCTGATATAGTTTTTTGCAAGTTTCTCAGTTTTTAATAACAATTAATTTATTTTACTATTTTTTTTTGTACTCCTATAACAGCGCCAGACAACACTTCCAGAGGAATGACGCCAATTTCGAATCACCCTGTATATATTTGAAAGAGGTTGTGATACAGGGTGTGTTTTTGAAAGTAGAAATGCCAATATGTCGAAAAGTATGTCGGCAACAAAAAAGAAGAATAGTTTGTGTACGGTATAATGATACAATTATTTATATTAATAGAATGCAAATATTATCATCGGTCAGCTTTGACATAATAGTAAATTGTTGCTGACCAGTTCACAACGCTACATAACCGCATATGACTGGATTTCTTCAAACATAAAATAATGTAAATTATTTGCATACTTTCATAGCTGAAATAGAACGACTTACCCTTTCTTTCTCTTCGCCTGCCACCCCCTCTTTGAAATCCACCACCGAAGAACATATCGAACAAGTCCATTGGACTCGAAAAGCCGCCACTGACTCCACCTTCTTTTAAAGCCTGTTCTCCCCCCTGGTCATAAATTGCCTTTTTATCGGGATCTGACAGCACTTCATATGCTTGGGAAATTTGCTTGAACTTTTCTCCTTCATTGGGATTTTTGTCTGGGTGGTATTTCAGCGCTAGTTTACGATATGCCTTCTTCAAATCATCTGGGGAACAGCCAGGTTTCACACCCAAAAGTTCGTAAAACTTAGTTTCCTTCACCATCTTGGCAAATTCTGAAATGGATGATACAGCAAATGGATAAAATTGCACAACAAAATTTGCTAGGTATGTATAAAAAAAAACTAGTATCAGCAAGACACTAAATGGGCTTTCTATGATTATTTCATTTTTAACGGTGGTAGAATTTCTGTTTTTTTTGTTCAAATCAATCTCAGAAGTATTATTGTTTATTGAGTGATTATAAAACTTGCATTTTAAAGAAACACAACTTAGAGAGTGCTTATACTAAAACGTTCCCGGTGTAACAAATATTTAATCAAATTTCGAGTTATTATTTTTTAGTAAAATTGCGCAATTTAGCATAGCAACCTCTGCAAATCACATTGTTATTATCCGTAATATACTATACATATTTTACGAAAGTGTTTCTCAATATTTCGCAAGTATACGTTGAGATATTTGAGCTACTTAACTTAAAAATATTTTCAAGATTCCTACTAGCAGCTTAATATTCCAGTCCATAAACAGTTTAAATATCCAAAAGCATCATAATACTAACTACATTATCGCAGCCACATACAATAAATCAAGAATAAATTTATCTATGCATCGACTAATCTAAAACTAATGAGATCAATCGCCACTAGAGCGGCAAAACAAATTTAAAATTATACATTCATAGGTTTAGATCGGATTCACTCAAAAAGTACAAGTGTTTAAATTTATTAATTTCTTATTTTGTTAATTTGTATACGTAACTTATTCTCAATGCGTCAAATTTTTGCGTATAGTTTCAAGTTGAATATTAAAAAAAAAGGAAAAATTTAACACCAGATGCATTCACATGCATTACATACCACGGTTGATCTATTCGATTACTAGTCAGAAGTAGTGCTTCATATAATGAACATAAGAAGGAAAAATAAGACGTAATTCAAATAAAATAAAAGTAATATACAATTTGCTTGAAAAGGTCAGAAGTCAAACCCATCAAAACAATGGCCATTTTAAGCAAAATAAAATTACCTGGACACAATCGATATCTGTTACTAGCTTGAAGCTGTCTTGTTTAAATGAAGATTACTTAACTTTTATTATTATTATAGACTTTTTGTAAATGTATTTAGTGGACTTAGAGATCAACATATTAATGAATACAACAAATTCGATAAAATAGAAGCAGAACAATGGACATCTTACGTCAAAGAACTCTACAATGAAGGAGATGCGATAGACGGCGAAGGAGAGAAAGAAGAAGAAAGCGTCAACGAACAAATAATAGAAATTACCAGCGAAGAACTTAAGAATACCACAGGCAAATTAAGAAACAGAAAAGGCCCAGGACCCGATGACATACCCAATGAGCTCCTAAAATATGGAGAAGAAATAATAATTGAAAATATTGCTGTACATTTTCAGAAAATTCAAACGAGTACCAAATCAATGGAACACAAGCATTACAATACCAATATACAAAAGAGGAAATAAGAAGAATCCTATCAACGATCACCTTGCTTAAAACAATACTAAAATTGCTAACGAAGATACTCGCCAATAAAATCACTAAAGAATATGCAATAAGTGAAGAACAACAAGGCTTTCGGCAAAATAGGTCAACAATACTGAGAATTGCTGAGAAAGCAATTGAATATACAATCCTGCGTACATGACTTGGAAGAAAACAGATAAAAAATCTTTGTTATGACGACGCAATTCTGATCTCGGAGAATGATGATTAAAACAACGGCAGAAACCTACAATATGCAGATATCAACATCTAAGGCTAAATCGCTCGTGGGTACCAGGGAGAACGCAGACGATACAAAATCGTAATTAACGAAGAAATAATCGAACAAGTTCCTAAGTTTGAATGGGAACAAAAATATCCCGCTACGGAGATCTAAAAGAATGTGTACGAAAGCAGGCTAATAAAGCTGCTTATGTATCTGGATGTTTAAGGGATGTTATCTGGAGCAATAAAAATATGAGGTTGGACGAAAAAATACGCATATCAGACCAATATATGCGTATTCAATGGAAACAAGAGCTGAAATAGCAGAAAAAAGAATATTCAGAACAACAGAAATAAAAACATTAAGATCAATAAGGCGGAAAACATTAATATACAGAGTTCCGCACATTCAAATAAGAGAACTATGTGGGGCACCACAGGATATCATACCATGGGGAAGACAGAAAGGCGGGAGCGGAACTAGCATCTGAGCTTAAAACCATTGTGGGTGTTAATTTGTAAAAAAACACTTCTGTCAGATCATTTTGGAGTAGGAGCACATAATTTACAAATACTGCACTTTTTGCAAGTGAAATGAATCAAGATGGATAAATATAAGAACTTTTCCATTGTGCGATTCTCTTTGGCCGGTATGCATAGTCGATCTTCGAGACTTTTTTGGCGGATAGCCAAGCGTGCCGCGCCGACGCGAAAACAAGGAGTTTTTGATGCAAAGTTGTTCTTCGTTAGATGGAATCGCGGCCGATTCTCCCTTAGATTGAGCATGCGCAGTATTACTGTTCTGGTTGACTTTTGCACTGATGCTGATATTATTAATTTACCGTTAAAAGTTCGGCACTGTTTTTAGTTAGCTGGTGAGGTCGTTTTAATAGCAGTTTCACACGGGCCACTCTGCAGCGCTTCTCAGGGGCGCTGCTGATAAGCGCACGTTAACATTGTACCAGCCGCTCTGCAGCGCTTCTCGGTGCCACTGCCGAAAAGTGCACGTTAACCTTGAGCAGATTGAAGTGGCTCGTGTAAACGTGATGAACTCGTGATTTCAATCAATGTATCGCTATCAGTGGCGCTTCTCGGCGGTAGTCAACCACTGATCGCCACAGAAGCGCTGCTAAATCGGTGGTCGCGCCCATGTGAATAGCTCCATATAAATCAATGTACCTTCAAAACGCGCATCTCAGCAGCGCCACTGAGAAGCGCAACAGAGTGGCCCGTGTGAAACGGCTCTAAAAGTCGGCGCTGGAACGCCGTCAAAGGCAGAAAAGATAAGCGCTATCTATTACGGCTAGTTGCTTCGAAGGGTAAGAGTATAAATAAATCGCAAAATAACTATTTTTTGAAAGAAAATACATCTTAACGGTAAAAACCGTTAAGGTTAAGACTGATTCCGAAACATCTTTCTAAACATTAAAAAAATGCAATGCAATAATAACTGAGTTTATTAATATTATTTGAACAACACATCATGCATACAAGCTTGATTTTTTTCAAAAATAACTACCATCAAAAGAGCAGGAATGCCTCGATTTGTGATTTGTTCCTGCTGATTGATAAACGGCAACAAAACACTTTGCACAATTTCCTTTGAGAAACGAAAGCGTTTTCTAAAATCAGATTCAGTAAATTTCTCTAACGTATTTTCCATATCTCGAATATACTTGAAAATAATACAATTATTATTTGAATTGCATATCACGCTAGTTGATGCTTTCTTTACGTACCTTTGTAGTATGTTCAAATCTAATTCTAAGTCGATCTTTGCATTAAATTACGAAAAATTTGAATATTAAAGTTTTCTTCTACGGTTTTTTAATGAAAAGTCAAAGCGGCAATAATGTTTTTACAGGCAACTTTGTTAGTAAGCATTATTTTGAAATGGTTCCCTGTTTAATTGGTAGCATATTGGAATACTTAAGCATTCAAAAAGAAAAATTACCATCTTTGCTTCAAATTACGAAAACTTTTCATATCAATAAAGTTCTTTTCTACAATTCTTTAATGAAAAGGCACAGCGGCAATGATGTTTTTTGTCAGTAACAAATAGTTACAGGTAGATAGCCTTTTTCAATAATAATAATAATTTGTCGAACTGCAACTTACTTTAAAGCTCCTTTCACGAATTTGGGAATTTCTCATTTCACGGGAAATGCCACAGTAAGATAGCAGAGGCTGTAAGAACTCACGCCAACAAAGGACGAGAGACACTGGAGATTGTCTCCAGGAAGATAGTGGACGACAAAAGATGATCGGGTTCCAGACACACAGGAACAAGTTTTGGACATAAGCTAAGGCGACATGCAGCAGGACAGAGCCTTTCAGGGGCTGTGCAGGAGCACAATAACTGACATTTTCCCAAGCACTAAATAAATACGAGGAAGAGCTACATTCCTACCACGTATGTAAGATACACACAACACAAGGACACATTAAACCAATGGATTACTAAACACCAGTACAAAATATGCATGAGTTAATTAACCGAATACGAGAAGCCGCTCCATAAGAGTGGATAATAAGATTACACAGGCACTAATTTGTTTCGATGTATTCTAATGTATGCTTATTTGTAAACATACATTCGAGGTTATCTGACATTTCGAAAAAGTACGATCACCAGTCAACGAATCCTGAATTTACCATTTATCATTGTCTATTTTACTGTCAGTTTCTGCATAATTCCATGGTTACCAGAGTTTTAAATAATTACGAAGCAACAGGTATTTCCGTAATGTTAAATAAGCAGATTACCTTGAAAAACATTGTTGACGTCTTTTTGATATAGTTTTTTGCAAATTTCTCAGTTTTTAATAACAATTTATTCTGTACTCCTAAAACACCGCCAGAGGAATGACGGCAATTTTGAATCACCGTGTAGTTGAAGTTGAAAACTTTCGTTCACAAAATAGCTTTGGCGATCGTTCGGGCATGCGTGTAGACCCATCTCCGACAAATTCCCACCGCATCGCCCAACAACGTTAAAATGCGCGTGCGTCAGATGCTCAACCGATCGGCTGTGCAACCAAAATTGCCACTGGCGGCTAAACGTAGGAATACGATCCCATTAATGCGCATGCGTTAACTGTAGATTTTAGCTACTGATCAGCTGGGTGATTAACAGTGGAGTGGGCGCTATCTATCTCACTCTTACTATGTGCCGTTCATGTTCATGTTTCGTATTTAAAATTTTCGGTATTTGAAATCTATTATTATGTATAGATATTAGACCTATCGACCTTCCAAAATTGGTGCCTTTTTCTTCTGCAATTCGGCCTTTCCAGCATAAGGCGTGCAAAGGCAACATCAAATCCCAAAGTTCCTATTAAACATGCGAGTTCCTAGTACTTTCATATTATTGATAAATGTTATTATACTGATGGCTTGTGCCTGGATTTCGTCTGATCAAAAAGAGTAGATTTCATAGAATCTTTAGTACAACCATTGACTGTAGTACAAGTTTCTGTATTAAATGGTGTCTAAAATCTTAATTTTTTGAAGTGCATTTAAACAATCATAGGTATATCATATGCATATTCAATAACCACTTTATCCTCCAAGCTGTGCCTGACTTAATTGCGGCATAAACAACCCATATTCATTTTTCTGAAGTAACGTATAAAAGAATTTCGAACACCATGTAGCCTTTACACACGAATTAAGGAAAATGCTAACCTCTATCAACAATCAACAAAACAGCAAATCTAAAAATAAACAGCTGCTCGCTTAGAGTCCGCGCATGCGCATTAAAGGGATCGTATTCCTACGTTTAGCCGCCAGTAAATTGCCTCCGGCCATCGTCGGGAGGCCGATGCATCGTAAGAGATCGACTATGCATAACGGCCTTTGAATTTTCGTTCAACTTGATGCAAATGATTCATATTCCCAAAATCAGCTATGAGCATTGTTCAGCAATTAAGCTACATTGACGAATTTTACTCCGTACTTATATCCAATTGTAGCCATATTGGATTTACATGTTTTACATACATATAATGTATATCTGTATATAACATTTACAAATTTATGATCATTCAAATCAGATGCATATCCTGCAACTTCCTTATTTAACAAAGATTATATAAGTATTGAAAATTTGCACTATTAAACAAAAATAACCACGGTTTACATGGTAAATTATAGATCGATATTGGTTGCAGACGCTAATAAGTTATTCCATAAAAGCCAAGTTTTGAAAGTTTACACAAACATTTTGAAAACTACGCATTTCTTGACAAAAAATGCACTGGGCGTAAGTTCCTGATATACCAATTATGTCCTAACAGACTTAGGCTCAAAATAAAATAGGTTTTGACTCCCAATTTTTTAGAGCTACGTCAAGACATTCGTCGACGAAAGCAGCTCATTTTTAACCTATGCCATTAAAATGGTGCAGATAGATGCCAAGATGTATTTAAATGTGTAGCACTATTTCAAAAATATACGAATATAGTCTTTCTTGTGGTGATGTTTATCACAGGTTCGGGATAAAATCTCCACTAAATGAACTCAAATAGGTATCAGACCATTGGGTTTAAAAATATTTTAAGCATCTACAAGAAGATACTTTGTAAATTCGGATTTTTATTCTCAGTGTATGTATATACCCAATTAGAACTGCGAATTTAGCATTTCAAGATGAAAAAACAACTTAAAAGAAGACTTCTGCATTAAAAACGAACTTAAGTAGGTACCCAGCCGCTGAATGAATCAAACGCCCTTTCAATAGTTCTATGTATATACATATAGATATTTCTATATATATAGTTCTATATATTATGTATATTATATGATAGTACGTAAAGTAAAGGACGTTTCTATCAATATAAATGAAAATAAAACATAGAAATTAGAAACAACGATAAAACAGTCCTGCATTCTTGTAGCTGTGTATACTTAGTGCAAATCATGATAGGGTTTCGAATAGGTTTAGTTACTCAAACCTGTACTGCTATGATACTCATATTGATTACATTTCATTAAAGATAGAGTTTTAATTATTATTAATTGGAATTAAAATTAGTTCAAATAATTGCAAAGATATCGGTTGACAGAAACACATGAATTCAGTCCATTTCAAAGATAGTCTATCTACTGCTAGATGTTGCCGATAATTTTAAAAAGAAAAATTACGTACATTTTCTTGGTGTTACTTGCAAAACAGCGGTAGAAGCAGTAGGGTTTATATAAAATAGAGCTCATATAAAATGGCAATATTTGACCTTACCTTGAAGCAGACAGACAATGCGTAATTGCTGTTAGAATACCGCAAATATCAAGAAGAAAGTAACGATTCGAAATGTGCTATTAAACTGTGTCTAAACTAAAGCAATACCTGGTTTCGACTAGTGAAGCAAGAAGCAGTATTGGTGTAGAACTTTCCAGAACACCGTTCTTACGAGATTCTCGAATTCTCGACGACTGATTTCGCTATTTTAGACAGCAGCAATGACGTGAATAATCGATTCAAGGAGGGTCACCGATGTTGTCACGTTTGCCTCGGCTTGACGTTTCAACTCTGAGAACTATTTTAAAAATTAATTTTGTAAAATTCAAAAGAAAATAAAAACTTGCCACTGTTACTTTTCCTGCACAATCTTTCTTAGCTTTTAAATATTTAAAATCAATATCTATTACTGCTTATTATAGGACTTTTTATTTTCTGTAATAGCTTTCTTTTTCTTTGTATCTGATAATAATCTGTAATAAAATATACCATAAATATTTTTTATATGAGTGCCGTTGGGTTTTAAAGAACACCAACATTTTCATTGTTGATTGATATTAGAATAACTAACTGGCATTGTTTTTATAATTAAAATCGAGGAGAGTGGGGATTTCTGATCTCCAGGTACACATAATCCCTTTCAAATTTCCATATTTTTCACAGCTGGTACCACAGAACATCCCCCTTAGTATTATTACAATTGGCCATGTCGTTAATAAATAATTAATGTATTACAGAACTAATATGGAGTTTTTAGGCCCCTTAATGGCAACACGTTTACGTTATCCGTTATTCTGAGCATATTAGAGGATAGCGTGTTCATTTATTTACGTACCAGTAGCGGTAAAGTTAATAAGCATCACGTTAAAAAGCAGAACGACGGTATTGACATATTTGACTTATTTCTGATATTATTTAACCAATACGCTCCATTAGTCTGACGTCAAACGATGCGCGCGCCGAAGGACTGTATCCACACAATCTTATTAGCATTGGACCTGGTTTCATTCTGTATTTTTCTAGAAATCTGCAGGTTCTAAGCATTAATATTAGAAAAAAAGACAGTACCGCTATCGTTAGCAACTATTTTGTTCACTACATTAGATACATCGTTCTTACTTTTTCTTAAATTAAACACTTTTCAACATGCAGGTTATGTTGTACGATTTTCTGCTGTAGCGGATTGCTTTAAAGAAGACTGTGCATAGTTAAAGAGGGGTGAAAACTCTTAAGAGAGAGGCAATGTCATTGAGTCTTCGCTACCGAAGACTCTCCTGCTTGACTTAAAATTGTGAGAGCCAGTATGAAAAAGAAAAATTACTGTGTAATTCTTTATATTTTTGACTGCGAAACATTAAAACTAACAGCTAAAGTTTCATGAGAGTTATGAGTAACTGATCTTGCTTACTAAGTTTTTCAACTTTCCAGTCATAATAACAAACTCTTATATCTTTGAGTAATGCAAACAAACATTTAAATATTGCGTAAGTAGAAAAATACATAAATACTAAGATGCCATTTCCTTTTATACTTTCAACTGAAAAACGTTTAGATAAATTGTGAAGTCCCATTAACACTTCCTGTAGTTCTTGGCGAAAATCATTTTCAGCATAAATCCGTGCTGTAGACATAAAGGTTTCAGGAATACCTTCAGTCGAAGTCGAAGGTTGTGGCTCAGTTTCAGGTCTGAAAATTATATATACAGGGTGATTCAAAATTGGCGTCATTCCATTTAAGGGGTGAAAGAGGCTCACTTGGGGAGTACGAGAAAATATTAAAAAAAATTTTTTTTAAAATTTCTATAAAAAATTAACAGTTTAATATCAAATTTCAACTTTGTTATTAAGCATTATTTAGAAATTGTTCCATGTTTAATTGGTAGCATATTGGAATATGTACTTAACGATCCAAAAAGAAAAATGACGATCTTTGATTTAAATTACGAAAATTCTTGATATCAAAACAGTTCTCTTCTACAATTTTTTGATGTTGCGTCTTAGTTCTGGGCCTATCTAACCAATTTTTGGACAATTTTTAAATGTTAATGAAGACTAAGAAGGTAAGAGCGCTTTTCGGCTTTGCTAGGTATTTTTCTGTGTTGCATTTGTTATCTTCTCTCTGGGGCAAGAAAATCTAAAGAAAACGAGATCTAACGACATGTGAAAATTAGTATTTGAGCACCATCTGAACTTTCAAAAAACATATATTTTTAGTTTCGGACAAAAAACAAATTGGAATGACCGTGAATAAGTAGTTTTAAGCTAACAGCTGATCATAATTCACAACCCATTCTTAAAAATTATGCATTAAATATGTTCGTTTTTATAACATTAGTTTACAGCTTCAGCAGGTAACTGATGAGCTCAGATAACATCAAACACCTCCACGCACACACGTTATTGTATAACCGGTCACAGAACATCCCCCAGGGACACAACTCAAAGGAGATGTTCTGTATAACCGATTGCCTACTACACATCGATAAGTTTCGTTTATGAACACACTCTTTCCATTATTGGAGATTGACACTAATGATGGAAATCAGACGGGTCAATTCGCGCAGAATCAAATTATTTGATAATTTTAGTATTGAAAATCTTGTGGGTTGCGAGGTGCGAACCGCATTATTCGAGTTTAAAAGTGTAGTGCAAGCAGTATTGGAAATATCCAGACACCTGGGTTTTCCTTAATCATGTTCTCTTTAGTTCCACGGGGCCTTGTGTAAGTGTTTATAGTTTTTAAGCCCATTATTGTGTTACGTGTAAAAAGCAAGCACTGTCTTATTGATTTTTGCTAATTTAAGAATTTTGGTCACAATTGTAAAAGAATGTACCATTACTTTTGTAATTATCTAATTGAACAAAAAATAATCCAGTAGTCTGTTTCTGTGTATTATATTGGATGTTCTTTACAAAAAGTTTTCTTGGCAAACAATAAATTGTGGCTTGGATCATTACAGAAAACGCAGACATTGAAAATTAATAGTCGCTAATACTATACCTACTATACCATATTTTATTTCAAAACGGCACTGAGTAAAGAAAATTGACTGAACAGAATAAGTGCTTGGCCTTTATACAGGGTGTCCCAAAATTAGGTGGCAAAACTGAAACAGTGAAATCTGCTCTCAAAAATAATACTATTTTTTCAAATCAACATGTATCGAAAAATGCTCCTTAACGGAGCTACGCCTTTTTGAAGAGGGGCCCAGTAGTAAGTTTTTTGCAAATTATTTCTAAACGGTTGAACTTCAAAACGTAAATTTTTGGAACTGTATTAATTTTGATATGCTGAATCTTGACCTGAAACTAAAGCTGTAAGAATTTCATCATAGACGTATCATTTCTACTTTTTTTTCCGGTGAGGTTTGGGAAATGCTCTTTTATGCACTCCCAGAGCTGGTGGTCTGTCGCTCTTGGTTGTGTGGGACTCCAGCTGAGCTGTTTACCCACTAAAACCCTTCCCTCACCGTCGAGGTGGTATTTCGCCTTGTACCGCGGTCATTTCTGTCCTATTGTGCCCTCGTATTTTACTCCCTCATTATCCCTGTGTATTCAATGAATTCCAGAAAAATGTTGGGGGGGGAATTACGACACATACCCTGGTCTGGTAGTCATCCCTGGCTGCAGCTCGTTGATTTTCCCAAGCAGGTGCCTCTTTATGAGTTCTCCCTGCTGAGGAGAAAAGTTCTTCTCGGGATTTCCGACCGCCGCTATAGCCATCTTAATCCCGGAAACCGCAATCTTGCACGACTTGTGTGTGGTTCCTTCCTATACGGAAGTTCCCACATACAGCCGCTCAGGTGCTGGCTTGTTGGGTGTGCTGCCATCCGACCGGTGTCGCTTTTGCGTCCCGGTCATGGCAGCTTTTTTGGTGTGTGCTGGTTCCCCTGAGGGTCTACCTGGCACAGTTTTCGTGGTTTTTCCGCCTGGCGGCCCCCGAGAGTTTTTTATCACTCTTCGGTACTTTGCCAGCTGCGAAGCTTGACGGTTCTTCTGAGGAGGTCCCGCCGGTATTTTGTGGTGTATGATGGTGGTGTTTTCCTCCCCATCATTCCCACGATTTGCTAGGGAAGAGTTAGGTCCATCCACACAGAGCCCCGCATGTGTGGGTAAGGCTGATACAATGAGGTGCGCCTGTTGCCTCAAGGTTAGTCGCTTCGGCGTTCGGGCTTCCTCCCAGTCTTGCATCTCTCGGCGCGCATTATACCGTAAGAATTGGGAGGCGTTGTAGTGACCTCGTCACGCAATCCGGGTAGTAAAACCAAGATCCCCGCGCCCCCTACAGTACCTATCCCAAGGCGGTAGCTACGAGAGTCGTTGCACTGCAGGCGGTTTGCGGTTTGTGCCACGAGCTGGTCCGCGGCGACGGCTTTCGATCCAGATCCGAGGGTTTTATTCCACGACTTTCACTTATGGCCGTCGCTAACCGGTCAGGCGTATTTGAGCAAAAGTCTCCCTATCCGCCACCAGGGGACGCGCCCGATGGGTCGCTCAACCTGCACGGGATCATTTGTACTTACAAGGTACAAAAAAGCTCTCACTTTTTTCTGAGACTATAAATCAATCTTTTTTCTACAAATTGTGAAAATTTGAAGTATTTTACGAAAAAAAGGTACTCTTAATTTACTTCGCTCATACGCACCATTTTCCAACTAAATTACTTTAAAAATATTACTGCTATCCATACACATTTTATGTTTTAAGTTAATATTATTGCAGTTTATTATTCTTTGCGAAGTCAGGAAAATAAATCACAATAAAGTTAAAATTATTATCGACACTAATTTACGTATATGTTTACCCTGATGTTGATTTACTTAAACTCCTTTACTTCTACAAAACCTGTGTAGGGCTGAAAGCCAAATTTACCCGAATAAAACCAGAAATTCATTGTTTGCCACCATTGTTTTAAATACTTACGTATACATACATATATTTATAACAAACGGTTCTGATAATAGATTATCTTACTGTTAGTAACAGTATGATAATTATGTAGCAGGCAGTGCACGTATAATGAGAGACATAAGCGATCATTTCAAGACATTTTTAATTCCTAAGTAGACTAGACTTTTTTGTAAAAAAATTGATCCATGTTTCTCTTCTATTCGCAAGGGGTTACCGTTTTCAGACCCTATGAGTCTGAGTACGTTTCAGAGTTTTAGATTGGCAGCTTTTAACGAAGCTTATCCTTTGTAAAATGTCATGAACGTAAAAAGGTAATAATTGCTTGAATTATGTTTATTAATGTTTTTAACAGGATCCACATATCGTGTGTCATATGGTTGATTAAAGTATTTGTGATACATTATGTTGTTGATCTAACATAGTAACAAAATATAACATTAATCTACAATGAATTGTGACGAAGCTGAAATTTTGAAAATGCCATTGAGATAATGTCCGAAATCTCGAGTTACGATAAATTTGTTTTCCTTTAGCTGTTTTTTAATTATAATTATGTTGTACTTTATCTGCATGTACTTATTTATAGTCCAAAAAACTGAGCACATTGTAAAACCGGCCGTATATAAACGATTGAAGATATTAGTCCATATGTGTAACAAACTTGTCCTTTAACAAACGGACTAGTCGGCTTGCAAAAGGTCTAAACTGTTTATATTTTCTATTCTAAATTTACATTTAAGGGTTTTAAACACAATATTTTTTTCTGGCATTAAGAAAGGTGGTTAGGGAATAGGATGGTCTTTAAATATTGTATTGGTTAGTTGATAAGTACCTCTGTAGTGGTGACCAGGAAATTGTTAAGAGTATCACTTTTTTATTAGACCAGCATTAAAAAGTGGAGTATCAATTCTTGAACCAACAAACCCACACCTATCTTTGAAACGAAATCACACTTGTAAATCAATTACAATGTGATCGTTTATACATGTGATGTAATTAATTATACTTTTTTCTATTGTACATTGCAGCATTGAATCAATTTGATTCATCAATGCATGAAATTATGTTACGCGGCGACAGTAGTTAAGGTTCTTCTGTTTAGACATCCCATCAAGAGCACGTAAACTAATCTGTATTTATAATGGAACAAATTGCACTTTATTTTTTAATCTTTTATTTTTTTATAGTAATTGTTTAAATTCGTTTGAATTTTTAATGAAGTTATTTGGTATCTTGCGCCGAAAATGTAAAGCTGATGACTGTTTCAACAACAGCTTGAATCTAATAGCATTGTTTAAGACCGGTTCAGTTGGCATTAATTTGCTACGAAATATGATCCTAAGTTAATATTATTTGTTCGGTTTCAGTTAACAGTATTGCTTCCTAAGTACTATTTGTTAAATCATTATTATAAATTAACACTTATGATGAAACCACATGAAAACCTTTAAAGCACCACAATTAACAAATCCGTTTCAAAACTACTATTAAAAGGCTTTATCTAAATTTGTATTGTAATTTAAAACAAAATGACATTTATGAATTTTATTGAATTTTTACACCTGCAAATCTAAATTTATTTTGGAATATTATTTAACTGAACTTGGCGCACTATAAAGATTTTCGGATTGGGTAAGCTTGCCATAGGCGTCTTAGCAGCTATTTATTTATTCAGCAAAAATTCAAACACTCGAGCACAATTGTTGGGGATTAAATGTTGATATGTTTATGTTTATGGAGTTTATTAATATTAATATTTCCTTCGTATGATAATAAGTGTGCAATTATCGAAAAATTACAGCAGTAATTGCACAGTGTGCAATTATCACTCAACGATAATTGCATTGTTTACAAAAAATATCTGACAGGTGTCTTTTCATGTTGAATTAGACATCAAATGTCTTCCTGACATACCTAAGATATTCAAATTAAATTTAATAAACATAAGTAATAAAATTTAAAGGGTAATAAAATATAATAGAAATAAAATGAATCCACATTTACTTTGTTTACTCAGGAAATATTTATCAAAATTACACTCGTGCATCAAAATAAACAGATAATTTTGCATTCGAGCTTGTTGTCTTGTAAAAACTGCATTCGTTTATTTTCACATTGGAACGAAAAAGCCACAATATGAAAATAAACTCATGCAGTTTTTAGACAACAAGCTTTCATGCAAAATTATCGGTAATTTTGAAGCAATTACTCCCGAATGTAATATTCTTCACCTTCATTTGAAATTCGGACCCTCAATGTTTACATTATCTGCAATTTGACCAAAAATATCTACCTACCGAAAAGTTTCCTTATATTACAAAAATAGCAAACGTCGAAAGTTAATTTTTGCCGATTGATGAAATAAAAAAAAAATTTGGCCCTGTTTAAATAATTTTACATCCAAATTTTGACGGAAGTATGTATTTCTATAGACGTTGTAGTTTTAAGTTTTGATTTATTAATTAAAACTTAATTAACTGTTTTGCTTCAATCTTAAAATAGTTTATGGAACAAAAAACATTTTTATTCAATATATATGCGCATGGAAACAGTTTTCGAAACAGCACGACACTGAAAATTTGTCTTACACATTACATAACAATCTGTATAAATGCTAAAAAAAGCAAATTAAGATTCTTTTCACCGGCTGATCAAACATTGATTTATACTTTATTATTAACTTTGCCATTTAATAAAACACCACGCCGAATAACAAAAAGTGGTTAAAACACTGAAATACAATCTTATGTTTGTTTTAATACTTAATGTTTTATAAAATAGTTTTTTCAAGTAGTAGTTTTCAAGTTATAATCTGATTATTATATTTTGTAAAGTATTATTTAATAAAATTGGCATGCTTTAGTTGTCTAAGATAGGATGCAAAAATAATGTTACGCCAATGATATATGCACAACCGTTTTATTAGTGACGGCTCTTGGATGCTTACCAACAATGTTTGTTACTCTGCCTTCCTAAAGTAGATTCGCCAATGTTAAAATATTTCTTAATGTAATTTTTAAATGCAATGCGTTTTCTTTATGCAAAATCGTGCATTGTCAATACGAATTAAAATTAAGTATCTAATTCGGTATTAAGTATATAATCAAACTATGCATTCAAATTACTTCTGCTACAGATTGTAGCCAATACATTATGCATAATCTTAGAAACTTAATTTTACAGACTCAAAAAAAACTGGAAACTGTACTGAACCAGGCACTTTGTTATCAAATATTTACATATTTTTTATCTTTAGTGTAAAATAAACTTTTAAATTATATGAAAATATTTCATTATTTTTGTGATTGAAAACTATTCATTGTGTACTATAACCATTGAGTCAAACTAATGAGAAAAGTTCTCATCTCATTCAAAATAGCTCTAGTTGAAAGTAATATTAATTTTTGACGTAGTTCTTAAGTTACGCAGAAAGGTTTCCGTGGATATACGGGATGTTTCGAAACTAGGGTGCATACATTTAACTACATATTCAGCTTAACATAAATAATAAGGAAAAATAAACCTTTTAAATCTCTGTAGATCTAAGTGTATAAGATTTTTTGCAATTAAATGAGCTAAAGAATAACCTTTTACCGTAGGCATAGGATAGTTAGGAGAAACCTGTATTAAAATTATCATTTTCCGTACCGTAACTATAATAAACTTGCTTGGAATTTCAGTATATCTATTTTAGTATCCAATAGAAAATTATTTACGCGATTTTACTCACTTCTGTACGATCAATTAATAAGATGTTAAATAAGAAATTTATATGAAGCCACGAATAAATAATAAAATATTAGTTACTTTCTAAATATTCCACTGATAACAAAGTTGCAAAATAAAGATTTTGATTTATTAAGAGTTTATAAGGCGATAAGTTTTTTCATTCAATGTTGATTGCTGCTAATATATTGAAATACTTTTTAGAGAAAAATTATGTGAATTGTCAGATCTGCTTTTATGGCAATATTTATATTTTTATTTATAATTTTTTTTGTTTTTTAAGCTGCTTAATAATGTTTGGTTTAATCGGGGTATATATGTTCTGGTGTCCGTTTAAATTTTTATGTTTGAACCTAATGATAAACGCGTTAATACAATATGCAGTGTTGATTTTCGATACTTCTGCAAAAATAGGAGTGTTAAGCTCTATAGTGTCGCACTTATGGGCTTTTATCGGCTGAAGGCTCAGATGTTATTAATGTTTTTAATTTTTTTTAATGTAACAAATTTTTCATGTAGGATCACATCAAAAGTACATGATATTAGTTCCAATTATTATCTTTTAGTTTATACCACTGACATGTTAATTTTTTTCTATATTTTCGTAAATTTGCGTTTTATGAAATAACTACCTATTTAACGGATGTTTAAATACAAAGGCATCATTTCCTAATTAAAAATGAAAAAACAGCGAAGTCAAATGATTAAAGTTGAGGTAGATAATAGTTTTCTCTGCCAATCTACATTATAGATATACTTATGCTATAATAACAAAAAAAGGAAACTGAATCGTTTTCTTTTTTTAAAAACAAACGTTTTTTAAAGAAAGAGCCGTCAAAGGTTTCAGATATATAAGTACAGACTTCAAGATGTGCCAATCTCAGGCACTCTCAGAACCGAGAGCCTGAGTTATTAGGTGTGTTTAGCCCTTCAGAATAAAACTTCCTAAAACTGCACTTTGTTTCGCCCATGTATTGTATCTGTACAGTACATGTACATGAAAGTTAATAGGCTTGAATCCGGTAGGGGGTGTCTGCGATTAGCACATCAAGAAAACGACCAAAACTTTAAGTTTTAGAATAGTGGCTTATTCCTTTAGTAATTACCTGTAGTATTTTCAACTTCCTTCCGCCCATTTAAGTAAGTTTATTTTAGTTATATTGTTATAGTTTCGTTGCCATGAACAAGCTGTAAATGTTAGAATTGTTTTTCAGTTCAGGGCTGTGTAAAAGCTCCAAACATTCCTTGGGCCAGAAACCTTTGATTGAAGCACTGAATCTTTTAAATGACGATTCTAAAAGGTGCTATGGCGTGGTTGGAGACATTCTCAGCCCCTCACAAGTGTTGGGAATCGATCATCTTCGGGATCCAAGGCTAAATAAGGTACACACGTGCAATTCATTTAATTATTTTTAATTTCAAACATACATCATATGATGTAATTGCCTGGATGTAGTAAATTTGAGTGGCCTTGCATGTTTTACAATAGGATAGTGTTCAATAATTAACTTAGTAGTACAGTTGTTTTTACGGTGAAATGACTTTAACGGCGAATGATGATTTTAACTGGGTTTCAATTGGGGTTAAATATTGGAAATACCATAATAAGTTTTGATAGATAATTGTTTTTAATGATTTTACCAAAAAAATTATTACTTAAATGCAGGAGATTAAATCAAATTTAATCTCTAGTGTTATTACGATAACGATAACAGAAAGTGTTATGATGATAAAGATAGCCGTAAAAATACAATTCCTTATGGCATGTCACTGAACTAACTTTAGAACATTTCATATCTTTGAAAGTAGTAGACAATGCAACTAAATCGTTTATTCGAACTTTCATGAATTTACCACGTTGTTTTTTATGTTTCGATTGGTAGTGTCTCTATACCGTTTTAAGTGTAGTATACACCTACATTCTACAACAATATCTAACCAGATATAAAAAATCGGAAGTCGAAATAAACAATTTGTGATTGTTGAATTGCCCCGCACAAGAGATACGTGCTTGAGGGATTAAAATTGGAGTTATTCCCTTTAAGGGATACTGGTGCCGATTTAAGAAGTACTTATTAAAATATTCTGAGTTAATTTCTCGAAGTCTAGCTCCTCAATATGCAATTTCCATTCTGCTATTAAGCAAAATGTTTACTCATTTATAGACCATTTAAAAATCTGCTTTAATCTTTTTATTAATTTTGTATGAGAAAGTCTAGATGCGACTATGCATTCATGGCAATATTTCTTGATAAACACGTCTACGATACAGCAGATTTGTAGATAGTTTTTAAATTGTGTTCTCCGAAACTTGAAAATGAACAATGTAAAATTGAATTCAGTTTACTTTCCCTAGAGGAGACTCTAAATAGCTTAAATCTTGTATATGGTAGATATGCGGAAACAGTTAAATGTTTTGTACTGATTTTTCTGGATGTTAACATCTTGATGGCAAATAACAGTTGAAGAAGGGCTATTTCTCTACATCTCTATACATTTTCAGATTTATACCCGAAAGCTTTAATTAATTTGCCATGATATTCAAATTTATATTATTCATTTAGAAAATTGCATATCACGTAATAGTTTGAAGATATCTAGTGACTGTAGTTATGTGGTGTACGCACTTAAATAAAATTATATTTAAAGGTAATTGGTTAGAGTAAAAGATAAGCAAAGAAAATATAATTTTGCTCATTTGTCATTCTCATCAGTTGAAAAGAATTCAGTGTTTCAAAATTTGTTTTTTTAATTAAGGTCCCTAAAGGTACGGTTTCGGTGGTGCGATCGGCAATTGCGATTCGGAGTCGGTCATTTTCTCAAAATCGCTCGAGGCGCCATTGATTATAAAAATTCGTTCTTGAATTTGCACAGTTTAATGTTAAAAAGGTAAATTTTCGACGAAACATCTATGAGTTAGAAAAGTACGTATAACTTTTCTTCAATTGTTACTTTATTGAAATTCCTTCAAAAACGGGATCAAGGAATAGAGGTTCGAAAACTCTTAAATAGTGTCCATTACTGAATTAGTTTCTATTTTGGTGTATTAAACTCAAATTGGTCTTAAGCGTTAGAAGTTTAGTTGTGACACTTTCACTTTCTCAGAAGAATCAAGTTTGAAATAAAACACTCTGGTTCGTGAGTCGATAAGAATGCTCGGATAGCGGGTTTGGGACTGGTTAACTGTTGGGGACGCTACTAGACACCTGATATGAGTCCATATTATAGAAGATTTGACCTCTTTTGAGTCTCCTTAAGCAAAGAAAACGTGACGCATTTTCGACATTGTAATACATTTTGAGTTTTGAAGAACTCAGTTTAAAAACTAACCACAAATGTAACGTTGACACCTTTGTCAACGAATATCTGCATGGTTGCAGCTGTGCTTTTTATCAAATAATTATTAATACGTACTTTTTTCAAATATGAAAGGTACATGTAACTTTAAGCACATTTGTAATGTTTTGATACATTGTTTGATGCATTCTCTATTTTTTGGTCTCGAACTTTGATTTGAGGGTATTCTTTACATAGTACCTTTGTCTTTGAAAGGATCATCTGGAGTTCGATGATATCGGGAGGTAATTATCTAAATTTGTTTTATTTTCTTTCTTGTATAATAACATTATTATATATACATAAGTTCTATATTGCTGAGGCGGATTCATTTTTTTACAAATTGCTTGTTGGGTATTTCGCCTCAAAAATGTTTGTCTTTAAATATGAAAATTTTCATTTTTGTAATAAAAGACGTAAGTAAATTCAGTCTTTTTTAATGACAAAAATTTTTGAGGTGAAGTACCCAACAAGCAGGTTGTAAAAAAATATTATACTGTATTATATGTATAATAATAATAATAGATTTGTTGTAATTTTGGGTATTTTTCCTTTTTCTGTACATATGTTGAACATTGTGCACAGTCTTGACATCAATACATTTCCTTCTGTTAGCATTTTTATCAGAATTTCATCTTCACCCGGTGCCTTATTATTTTTGATATGACTGAAGACCTGAAGAGCATCTCTTCCTCAGTTATTTCCGAGATCTCTTGTGATCCTACATTCATATTCTTATTGTTTTCTTGCTTCGGTGTTTGGACTTTTGGAGGGTATAAATTACTGTAAACATTTTTGGCTGTTCGTATTATTTCTTCTCTTTCCCTAATTTCGTTTCTCGTTTGATCCTTCAGGTGTGTTTTCTGGTTTTTATAGTTGTTCTGTCTGATACTTCGAAAGGCTTTATTTTTTTCCAGTAGTTTTTTTAACTTCGTTTTCATACTGTTCATTTAGATGGGGCCTCACCATCCTACTTGTCGTTTTTGCTAAAATTGTAAGTTCTTTTCTTTTCAATAATTTTCTTTGTTTTATCCCTTAGCTTGCAAGTTTTTTCACTTTTCTGCTCTGCTATTTCTCTTGCTGTTGTATTCAATATGGATATTCAAACTATTTGGCTGGTTTTGTCGATGTTCTTTTTGTCCTGAGTTTTCTCCATTTCTTTAATAACTTTTTCAAGACTTTCCCGAAACCTTTCCGAATTTTCCTTCAACGCTTTTGGATCTATAACTAGCTAATATTTGAGAATCTTCCTCCTCTCTAGCTTAGTATTAACAGTTACTTTGGCTTTTAACATTCGGTGCTCGCTGTTGGTAATGCAACAATTGAGCAGAAACATCTTTCACTACTGATTTATAACTGGAGAGAAAATAGTAAATTTCACTGTTTGTATTACCATCCGGACTGCTCCACGTCCATTTTCTTTGTTACTTTTTATTAAAGAATGACGCCATCGAGTATAATCGATGTTCCGTTAAAAACTCCCGCACTCTCTTATCTCGTACATTTGTCTCATCGAAACGAAATAGTCCTACATATTCTTCAGGTGTTTTTTTTTGTATTTTTGCCAGTTTTGTATTGAAGTCTCCAATGATGAAAGTATACATGTTGTATGTTGCTGTTTCTTTGCTAATAATTTATCTGATGTTATCATAAAATTTATCTATTTCATCGTCGTTGTGACTTGATGTTGGGGCATAAAACTGTATAATTTGGATTTTTCAGAAATTTTTTTATTAGTACCGAGCAAATTCTGTCTGGGACGTAATTGAAACCTACGATATTCGAGGATACTACTTTGTTGACCAAGAAACTCACACCTCGTTGACTTTCATTTGCTGATCCTATAGGGTAAAATGTGTGTCTCGATTCCAGAATAAAACATTCTTCTCCTTTTATTTTCAATTCACACATTCTTTTTAATCCCATTGAATTAATTAAATACCTAAGTTGAAATCACCAAAGAATTGAAAAAAATTAACTAACATTTTTCGTATTTAACTCTTTCAAAGAAATTACATTACTTTTAAACCATTCTAAAGCTTCTAGCTGTTTCTTCATAAATATATAGTTTTGTATCACAGCAATGGCCATTGTTTGAAGATATTAGTTTTCAACGATTTGCTATTACAATTTTTATTATTTTCGTTTTTATACCGAGTAGGTATCCCACACAAATTTGGAAATTATGTGGTCTAATTAACAATTTCGACCGCAAAATGAATCAATTACATTTTATTACTCACAGAGGATTAAATGCTCTAAAGTGCACATTTTAGTACCATACAGTGTGGAACAACCAAATGTTTTACTCAGTATTTTATTATTATGCATTCGCACGACAATATTGTTCGCGTTTTAGATTTTAATAGGAAAAAATAATTATTATTACTCTAGTATACTCTTTAGTATTTTCGAGGACATTTATCTCTGACCTGCTAATGTTCAATGTGGTGTGCTATTAGCAAATCGACCTAAGTAATATGGCGCCAGGTTGTAAATGCAAACGTTCTGAAAACTGAATTCTGCATCATCCGGCCATTGTTTGCTTTATGGGTAGTGCAGATCGTGTTCAACAGAGGACATAGAAAACAAATACGCATTCACTAATAGGCTAAATTTAAAAACAAAAACCCAAATTAAAAATTAAGACGAACGGAGAACATCATTTAGACAATGTTTGTATCCTTTATTTGTTTTCCTTAATGAATAGTAAAACTAAATAATAACATTTAAAGGTTTTTTTTTTAATTTCGAATTGTACATAGTCTCAACTCCCCTTAAAACATCTTAGCCAGACGTTCAAAGTAAATTTGAATTGGTATTGTAAAAATAGTGCATGTGCTAAAATTGTCTCCCACCAAAGCTTAAAGCACTGATAACAAGTGTTATGTAGGGGACAAAATTTAATTGAACTTTTCTGAAGTTTTTCAGGCTTTTGGGCCGATTAATGGCGAGTTTTATTTCTCGAGAGTTAATCCGTCAATAGATAGCGACAGAAAAATCAAAATTTTTCCATGATCAAAGATTTGGCTATATTTAAGCCATCCTTAGGGCTCATGAATTTGGTTGAAAATCTTTATTCTGCCGTTATCTATTGACCGCTACAAATAAACTTCACCTTCACAAAGTCATGTTTCAAATATCTTTGAAAATTTAGATAGATTTTGTGTCCTAAAGCAGAAAATAATATTTTGTTACATTATTTGATAAGCATTTCATTATTTAGCTCAAAATGGTAATGTTTACAGGGTCTTGCGTTTACTCTAGAAGAACGGCAAGCTTTGGGCATTCATGGTCTCCAACCAGCAAGATTTAAAAGTCAAGAGGAGCAGCTGGAATTGTGCAGAATCTCAATTGAGCGTTATCAGGAAGATTTAAACAAATACCTCTATTTGACAGAGTTACATGACCGCAATGAAAAACTGTTTTTCCGTCTGCTATCTGAAAACATCGAGGACCTGATGCCGATCGTATATACTCCAACCGTCGGTTTGGCTTGTCAAAAGTTTGGATTGATTTACCGAAGACCCAGAGGACTGTTCATCACCATAAATGATATTGGACATGTCTTTGATGTCCTAAAAAATTGGTATATAGACAGAGTTTTTGGTAATTTTTATTGTTTGATTTTGAAGAATCCCTTGTTGATATTTTTACCGAACTTGTTAATTACATACTTATTATTATCAACTGGTGGTTGGGATTCTTCGTTAGAAATGTATTTTTAATATTATTTGCAATTGCCAAATTTTTATAGAGCATCAAGAGCAACATTTACATTATACAGAGTGTCTAACTGGTTTGCTTTGCACACAGTACATATGAAGTGGAGTTTAAAATAAATGTGTTAGGGCAAGTCACAATTTGGATTTTACGATAGCATTTTTAAATCGATTTTAAGTTGTAAACATCTAATAGAGTTTTAGTCAAATTTAAATCTCTCATATTGCAACTGGTCAATAAATTCTTTTGATTTCTATTAAATTGATGGCATTGGGAATTTACCCTATTTTAACTCTTGTGTTGTAAGGCTTTCAAGACAGTTTTTAGAGACACCATAAAGAAATGGAAGTAAGAAGTAAGTAATTAGGACGCGCTTATTATGCCCTTTCAAAATTTTCAAAAAGTCACTTTAAAATTGTGTAAATACAATTTACTGATGATTTGTTTCAAGCTCGGAATTTAATCAGACTGATCGTGATTTTTTCACTTCCGACAATTAGAACTAGAACTAGTCCACATAAAATTGGATTGGTCAGTACAACTAAATCGTACAGCATGTTGTCACGAAGCCAATTTCTATTTATAGATGAGTCATTTGAATTTAACATGACAAACTATTCTAATTATGTTATTGTTACTTGCATTTCAAGTACTTACTGCTTTACTCGTGTTACTTGATGGAAGCTAATAAATTTGATATGATACTATATTTTTAGGCCTGAACCAAATGTAAAAGCTATTGTTGTCACTGATGGAGAACGTATCCTTGGTCTTGGTGACTTGGGAGCATGTGGCATGGGTATTCCCGTGGGAAAGCTTGCTTTGTACACAGCATTAGCCGGTATCAAACCCCATGAATGTCTTCCAATAGTATTGGATGTAGGAACAAATAACCAAGTAAGTGTTAATATGAAGTGAAAAATAAAAGAGCCGCGAATAATTTTTGAGAAATATTCTTGCAATGGTGTTCAGCAAAACATTCCCCTTCGTTCCTAAGGTGCCTCGGCACAGATTGTTTTACTGTACAGGGTGTTCCGTTAAAGATAAACAGCGGCTGTAAATCGACAACGGTAAAGACTAGCGTTTTGGGGAAAATATTATAAGTAAAGTTGGCACAAAAAAATTGGCAGAAGAATAAGTCTTACATGAGCAGCCTTTGGAAGAATGAGCTACATCTTGAGATTTGATATTCCCATGTGTCTTAAGAGGAGTCTTCGACCAATGTATTTTACCACTAACCTACGGAGCTGAAACACCGACTCTAACAAATAACTTCCCGAACAAAATAAGAGTAGCGCAAAGAAGCATGGAAAGAATAATGTTAGGCTTGTCCCTGAGAGATAGAGTTCGAAACACAGGGGTGAGAAGGAGAGTCAGGGAGTAACAGATGCTATCACAAGAATATCGACTCTAAAATGGAACTGGGCGGGTCACTTAGGCAGAATGAGCGACGGCAGATGGACTAAAAAAATAACTGAATGAAGACCGCGGGACCACGCTTTCCACAGCAGGGGCAGACCGCCCACTCGCTGGTCGGATGATCTGAAGCGCATCCAAGCCAACTGGTTAAATGCAGCACAGGATAGAGGGAGGCTTATGTCCAGCAGTGGACGAGCAGATAGCTGGGTGATGATGATGATGGCACAAAAAATGCCTGGAAATTGTTTTAAAGTTCATAGCTCTACCGCTAGGAGGCATAACTTCTACTAAAAACAAAAAAGTTCTGGTATTTCCGAAAATGGGAAGATGAGCTATAACTTTAAGGAAATTCGGGTAGTTTTCACCCAAAATGCGAAATTGGAAAATCATACGTTTAGGTGCAACATTAGGCCAAAATCGCCACAACAACAAATTGAGCTCGCGCGCTCATATTTACATCCCATAGGATATGCGCGAATGTAAGACGGCATAATATGCCGTTTTCAGAACATGAAGTGAGACACAGGCTGAGGGACTTCTAAGTACATAGACGCCCCTGGTCAGCTTCTTGGCCACCCGGTTTATATGAAGTCCCCACTGTAGTCCGGACATTATTCGGTTATGTATATAGGGTGTCCCGATAAGGGTCAACGCACTAATAGCCAAAATAACTCATCGATCGGCACCGATATAGCCGTCACAGTCATTCCTTTATTATAATTTTGGATTATGCAAAAACCCAGAATAAAGCAAATTGTTCTTTAAAATGTAAGCATTCTGAAATCATAGAAACATAATTGTAAATCACATTTAGTTTTAGCCACTTAAAAGAACTAAATTCTGACATCAAGATTTAAATGTCAATTGTAACTGAATTATTATAAGCCTCCTGTTCAAAAATAATACTGTGTGCAATCAAAATATTTACTCGAGTAACGTTTTTAGGTAAATAATTGCACCATTTTTTAAATCAGTTTTGTCAAAATTGCCAACCAATTTGTTTTGCATTGTTTAAACCCGAGGAGGAACACAAAATCCTGCTAATGTCATTTAGTTGCCTCCGCGTATTGAACAGTGATATATTATTTTGCAGGCATTATTGGAGGATCCTTTGTATGTAGGTCTAAGGCAAAAGCGTGTTACTGGTAAATTATATGACGACTTTGTAGACGAATTCATGGAAGGAGTCGTAAAGCGCTATGGTCAAAATACTCTTATACAATTTGAAGATTTTGGTAATCATAATGCTTTTAGGTGAGACAATTGCATCAAAGCTTTTGATAACAAATCATCGCAAACCATTTGTTTGTGATTGTTGTGATCATTAAACTTAATTTACTCTAACTTTGAATCATAGGTAACAAAGTAGTTTTCAGATTGCTGAAGAAATACAGATATAACTACTGCACTTTTAATGATGATATTCAAGGAACTGCGAGTGTGGCAGTTTCAGGACTCATGGCTTGCAAAAGAATTACTGGCAAGAAATTCGCTGATAACACCATTTGTTTCCTCGGCGCAGGTGGAGCTTGTTTGGGTATTGCTGATTTAGCCGTACGAGGTATTTTATTATTATTATGCTTCTATTCCGACATAATTTTTAATACAATCTTACTTAAACTGCTGAACAAAATCAACGTTACACGGTCAAATTTGCCTTAACTTTGGAACATGATAAATTCTGACTGCTTTGAACTATTTGATTTCTATTTGAAGTGTTGTGTAGAACAATTCTTGTTCTATTAGTCCGTGTTTTAAAAAAAGAGTGCTTTAGATAAAGTCTCTACAGGGTGGCAAATGAAGCAATGCAAAATTTGTGAAAGTTTGACATGTTCCCAATTGTGCAAAAAATAGTATATTACGGTCTAAGAGACGAAAGTCGCAGTTCCGCCACTGCTTGAAGTTGACGTCTGAGGCGAAGCCGATGCGAAGCCACATGCAGTGGCGGGCCTTCGACTTGTGTCTCGCGTACCTTATACTATTCGACCAAAATGAGTACTTCAATAACTGTGTATTGAATCCAAAAGTAGCTTAGTCGGTACGAGTATTCAAAAGTAATCAAATCTAACACCACTATATCAAACTCAATACAGACTCTTTCGTTGCTTATGAGTACTGTTGGACAGAGTTATCTAAATCAGTTAGAAGAACAAAAAGCGTCCAAAAGTTATGGGAAAAAATAAACCACGTTCATATGTTCTGCTTATTCATTGCCTTCAGTATGACTTTAGCAGTCAGATGTTCAGTTGCAGCCACTTCAATCAAGTTGTTTGTAATAAAAAAACGTATGTTATGTAGAATATCTGACAAATTTACAGGTTTCCAAATAAAGGTAAACTTTATGCACGTTATGCGTAGATTTTCAGTTTTGAAGCGCACTATTTAAAAGCTGAAAAATACGCTGTAATGCTGACGTATTTTCTTATTAAAAAATTTTGATATTATAATTTTTAATAGGAAATTTGCCTTAGTTTCATGGTATTATAACTCCTTGTATATCAAAATTAAAAGTACAATATCGATAAAATGTGTCCGTTAAGGTTGCTACCAACAATACACCACATTTTAGAAATATAAAAAACTTGCACATATATTGTTTGTTTCAGCCATGGTATTGGAGGGAATATCAATAGAAGATGCCCGGAAAAAGATTTGGATGTTTGACATTGATGGTCTTTTAGCAAACGAAAGGCCAGAAGGCAATCTTGAAGGACATAAGAAGTACTATGCTAAAGATCATGCTCCTTCAAAAGATTTTGCTGCTTTAGTAAATGAAATTAAGCCGAGCATTTTGATTGGTATGTCAGAGCCTTCAATTTCTAAATCAAAGCTTCAAATTTTACGATTACATAATTTTACTACGGATTTTTAGGTGCATCTGCCACTTTTGGTGCGTTTACACCGGATATTTTGCAAGCTATGGGCAAATTTAATGACCGACCCGTAATATTTGCTTTGAGCAATCCAACTGATAAGGCTGAATGTACAGCCGAACAAGCTTATATTAATACTGAGGTAAATAATACTCCTATACGTGTTCTACAGTTATAGTTTACAATGCTAACATTATGCGCGACTCATTAAAAATACTTCTTAAAAAATATTTTGAAAGCATAATGCAAATATTTTATACTTGCACAAAAGTAAAATTTCAAATGTATTGTTTTTACAGATAATATCAAACACTCAACTTTGTTGTTACATAAGCATATATACACTTTGTGAACAAGCAATAAAACGCAATTTCAGGACTAGGTTCATAAGCTGAGTTACAACCTGCATGTGTTTATACTTTAATGGGCTTTTGAATACCCAAAATGTTTGTTTTACATAGCCCATGATATAATTGGCTCTTGTTGGTTTACAAGTCTCCTTATTATTTCTTGAAATAATAAGGATAAATGCGGATGTGCGTGCTATTTAACTAACTGACAAAAAATAGCTATTTTCCATAATAAATAATTAAGATAATGCCGTAATGCCAAGATATTTTTTCACAGGGTCGTTGCATATTTGCTAGTGGATCTCCTTTCCCACCCGTCGAAATTAACGGTCAAACATTCAAACCTGGACAAGGCAACAACGCTTATATTTTCCCAGGTGTAGCTTTGGGGATTCTTACATCGGGCATACACCATATTAGCGAGGATGTGTTTTTAATGGCCAGCGAAACGGTTGCTGATTGTGTTACGGAAGACGATTTGAAGAATGGTCGCATATACCCGCCTTTAGGCGAAATTCAAGAAGTGTCCATTCAGATTGCCGTCAAAATATTGGAGTATGCTTATAAAGAACGTAAGTAAACAATAAAACACATTTTTTTTCTTAAAAAAGCGAACACTAATAAGCAATTTCACCCAACTCAAATACTCGAAATCAGAACGCTCAATTCGGCAAATATAGGAAGCGATCATAACCTTTTACTTATTAAATTGAAAATACGAATACCCAACCAAGACCGGTGATATCAACACAGAAACTCAAAAATGAGCTGATATGGGACCCTACGATAAAGTACCTATACAAAAATTATTACAACAAAAAATCGAAGAAACCCCGATTTTAAATACTAACGACATCAATCTAGCTTGGAAAGAATCAAGGATAATATCAAGAATTCAGCAAGGGAGAACGAACCCTAAAAGTGGACCAAGTAATCAACCATAAGACACCATGGTTCCGCCCAGAAGTCAAGGAACAGTGCAAAGAAAAAAGAAATCCTACCTAAAATATTGTACTATGCGAACGCCAGAATCATATAATGAATAATGGCAAGTTAGGAACAAAACTAAAGAATTGACGAGAAAAATAAAAAACGATCACTGGGAAATGTTCTGCAAACGCTTGGAAGGTGACTTCTACGGGCTTCAAAAGCAGATATGGCGATTCATATAATCGCCCAGAAAAGAGGTCAATCAACTGCTGTGTGTGATTTTATGTGTGCTAACTCATAAAAGTGTAGATCAGATATTTAACCGATATGTATAAAACGACAAACGCGACAGACGAGCCTACCGCACCAGAAATAACTATTAACGAACATGCCACGATCAATACATCCGACGTAGAAATCGCACTACAGGAACTAAGAAATAAAAAAAGCGCCGGGCAAGACGGTATACAAAATGAATTGCTTAAATACGGTAGGCAAAGACTAACAGAAGAATTAACAACTTTAATATAGAAAATTATATATCAACATAAAATCCCAGATGAATGGCGAACCAGCACTACTGTGCTAATGTTTAAAAAAAGGGACAAGAGAATACCATTAAAATATAGAGGAATAAACCTTTTAGGCACTGCTCTAAAACTAACAAGAAAATATACAACCTTCCATTGTTGGGGGACGAACAACAGGGATTCAGATCGCGAAGATCTTGCACAAACGGCGTGTTCGTATTAAGGCAAAAAAAAGGGAATATACAACAGGCAAATCCCACACAATCTTATTAAAACGCCAAAACAATCTCACCAAGAACATATATATAAACAATAAAATACGAGCACAAATAAAAGGAGACCTCACAGAACCAATACCAGCGGGTAGCAATATTCGTCAGAAGACTCCCTGAGTCCTACCCTTTTCAATTCAATAAAGGAAGAAATTGTTCGAAGTGTTCGAGGGCTAAAGGGATTCAAAATGGGGGATGCAGAAATCAAAATACTGTGTTATGCTGACGATGCTGCTCTCATTGCAGAAAGTGAAGATGACTTACAAAGGTTATTACACTTGTTCAACCTGACAGCCAAGTCTCTCAATATGGAAATATCACCGACCAAAACAAAGTGCTTAACAACATCAAAAACCCCTCTAAGATGCAAACTGGAACTTGACGGTAGATAATACCAGAGCAGAAAATGAAATTTCACTACCTTGGCGTGGAACTTTCCGGCTTTGGGGATATTGAGGCAGAGGTGAGAGATCAAACAACCAAGGCAATTAGAATAGCTGGCTGTCTGAATACAAAATGGTGTAATAAGAGTATGGGAACGGACACAAAATCGAGGATCTACAAAACCGTCGTGAGGCCGGTGATAACATATACCGCAGAAACCAGACCAGAAACAGCGAAAACCAAAAGACTCTTAGAAACAGCTGATATGAACATACTCCGTAGAATCACCGGAAAGACACTGCTGGATAGAGAGACAAGCGAGGATATTAGAACAGCCTGTAATGTCAAGAACATTAATGAATGGGTAGCAAACAGGAAGAAGCAATGGAATGAGCACATAAGCAGGATCGGCCACCGCAGACTTGTGAGAATCGCTTGCGACAAGTCCCCTTTGGGACGAAGAGACATTGGGTGCCCCAGGAAACGAGGAGTGACAGCCTCACGCAAGTGAACTAATTGAACAGGCGATTCGCCTAAAATGAAGAATGAAGAAGAAGAAAAAGCGAACAGCTCCGCAAATACTTGTATTATGTTTCCTGTACTTTTGTAGTAGGTTTATCATTTTTTAGCAAAAATACTTAAAAAAAACCAAAATTAAAATATGACTTACTTATATTTTTTCTTAAAAAAACTTAACAATTTGTATCCTTGCCATGGATGCGATATGCTTGCGATTCATACAATTTATCAATGCAAACCTATTTTCCGTATTTAATTGCATATTTTAATTAACCGAAAATTTTCAATATTCTTAATTTTGTTATAGTAATTCGTAGTTGGCGCATTTTAATGGCGTTTTCAAAAATAAGTCAGTCGTACACTATAACACTACCTTTGTTTGAGTTGATATCGAAAAACCGACCCTACCACTAACCACAGCCACAATTAAGATTTTCGTTCATATCAAGCACCTCGTCATCAAATGCAGAGTGTTCCTCGAATGTGGGCTGCTTTCGTTAGTTGACAATTGCAGTTACAATAATTCCGAAAATGTCAGGTCTTGGGCAAAATTGCCACTTTTGCTTATTCCGGAGATGTCGCTGATTTTAATTGGAACGCACTGTAGATTACTATAAATTTAAGTTCTCCCAAAGATTCTGAACACTTTTCATGTATGAAGTTATATACCTACCTCTAACGGTTGGAACTATTTTTATAATATTGTAACAACTGGCCAGCGCAGTCCTGAATGTTGCAACCGATAATGCCTGAATGACAACTTCCTTAAGTAAATTTCTTATTAGCTGGCAGTCTCCCGCTAGCACTCAGACTACGAATAGTAAAGTATATATGGCCATATGGCATATGGCCCATCTTACTATACGGCGCAGAAACGTGGTCTCTCAATGTTTGAACCCTGAACCGCATCTATCGTTTTAAATGTGCTCTCCGGAAACTCTTACGCGTGCCATGGACCACACATGCCACGAATGAAGAAATTTTAAGAACTGCAAGCTGCGAAAGGGAACTAGTTAACATCGTTAAATTAAAAATTGTTTCCTATCTCGGCCCTATTCTTAGAGGAGGAAAATATGGCATTCCAAAACTAATTCTACAATAAAAAAATAGAGATACGTCGAGGCGCAGCAGCTACCATATTTCGAAGAGTCGAAAACGGCACTCTACAGATTGTATGAAGAGTACAGAGAATCGCCAACCCAAACTACCAAAAATAAAAGCAAACAAAACAAAAAAAAAACAACAACGAACAAACGGAACAGCAACCAACTACAATTAAGAACATAAAATAAACTAAAATTACGGGAGTCTATGGCTCGGGTACCTGTGGCGCGCACAATTGTCCCACGTACCGCGGCGGGCAAATAGTCTTGTCTCTGGGCGCGCACAATAGTCTCGCGGTGGGTTCACCGGTTTCCCGGGGGATCAAGGAGCAAGGATGCTCCGGAAAACTGGATTTCCATGAAATCCAGCACTCAAATAAAAAAAATAACGCCTTGACCGCCACCGCGCACCATTAGTTTAAGGGTGAATGCGAGGGGTGTTTATGACGGAAAAAGGAATTACAAAAAATAAATTTACTCCGCGGCACGTCACAGTTATTACGCAATTAATAACCTAAACCTTATCACTTTTCGTAAAGTATTGGAAACTTAGTAATCATGGAAAAAAATTCTAATACTAAGCAATAAAGTGTGTTCGTTTAAATAAAAGGCAATCTGTTCATTTCATGTATTAGTATATGTAATGGAAAAGTATATTTTGAAGCTAACACTCAAAAAAATGAGGAGTTTTATACGGTAAATTTAACATTTTTTCGAAAACAATCTGCATAAGAGTAAAACTCGATACACACTAGCCAAAGTAAATTGCACCTCTTTTGGGACTTTATCTGTCAATTATTATAATAAAATGCAAACTGTTAGAGATAGGAATAAAACTTCATACATGAAGTGTTTTTAATCTCCGGGACAACTTAAATTGATAATATACAGGGCATTCCAATTAAAATAAGCGACTTGACGTCTAATTCCGATATAACCGGAAGGGTCATAGAGAAAGCCGCTTTAGTCAGACCTCAATTTTCGGCAATTATTGTAACTGTATTTTTCGAGTTATATGAATCACACACACACATGAATGATATGAAACATCCTGGATTATGTGGTAAATTATTGGGTATTGCGTCAATGATCTGTCTACTTAAATACGAAATTATGATTGATTCAGGGATTGCCACAGTATATCCGAAGCCCAAGGACCTGAGGAGATATGTAGAAGAGTTACAGTATAACTACAACTATGAACCATCTCTGCCTAACTTATGGCCGTGGCCGAAGGCACCGTACATCAAAACAAAATGCATGGAGCCAACAAAACTAAAGGCATAAATTGGAATATCTTGTCATTTTAGAAAGTAATAATTTATTTCACCTACGATTAATCGATATTATTTTTTATTGTTGACGTAGTGAATTAGTGAAACTGTGATTAAAGTGGAATATAATACTTCATACTTATATGAAAAATGCATGAAAATATTAGCAATTTGTGTCCATACGATGTTGTAGCTTTGATACAAGTAAGCAAATTTGATGAAAATGTTACTTTATTGCATGGTACTCACAATAACATAATATTTTAGTTTTTGTTTTAAAGTGTATCTTTAAGCATACTTTGCAATATCGATAACTACTGCAGTGTCGATTTCCGAAATAAAGCGATATTTCAATTTTAATGATGAAAGCAAGGTAATTATGTCATACTATGTAAAGGTTGTTAATCTAGACACTGCTGAGGACTTATTAATATTTAAAATGTTTTATGAAGTTAAATGTGTGATTATTATAAATGTTGCTATTGTCACATATTTTTGAATATTTAAAAAGTTGCAATTAGTATTATTATTTTTTATTAGGAAATTACTTGTATAGACATGAATTGAACGTGTTCTTGCAACTGCAAAATCCTGTCAGTATTTTTGTTCTAATCATTTACTTTTATGAAATTTTGTCTAAATAATACAGTTATTAAATGTTATTGCTGTTTTCTTTAACGTACATACTTTCCTGACTGTGCTTCAATTCCAAATCAAAATCAATTCCTGAGCTTCAGTCATTTATTGTCTATTTATCAATTAAAATACGTTTCGGTGTTTTCCAGCATCATCAGTTTCTATGTGTAGCGTTGTTGCTACTTTAAGCCTTGGCATATATATATTTTTTCTTTAACACACGTTCTACCTTTGAAAAAAATGAATGTTTAATTTAGCATCTATACACGTGTACGAAGTTTTAGCTGAAACGGGATGAAAATTGGTTTCATAAAAACTCTTGAAAACAGTATAAAATATGATTTAAAATATTATATCAAATGATAAACCATGACCTCTCCTTGTGTAACTGATCTTCATCAAATTATATATTATTTCCGTTATATCATTTTATTTTCATAAATTTTTAAATTCATTAAACTTGCTCAATAGTTTTTTGAATATCATCAAATTAACTTTTAGGCATCGCACAAGCTTATACAAATGAAAATATCTAACCTTTTAATTTTCTTTCTGACCGCTTCTCGGTTTAAAACAGTTGATTCTGTCAATCAAATCATTTGCTAACCTGAGCACGCTTCGGTTTTGAAACCATTATCAGTTAACGCGGGCCCAAGTATGTCCACTGTTCCGTTGTTGCACATTTAAGAGAACAAAACAATATTGAAAATTATAAAGAAATGCCAGCTAATTGCATACTCAATGCAAACGCTCTGGGCGTTTAAAACATGAGAACAAACCCCAAACTACGAGCACCGAACTCTAGAAATGTCGGCTGATTGAACGTTAAAAGATTGAATAATTTAAAATGGCAAGATTGTGACGTATTCCCGCGCGCTCTCCCATTGGTCCAAAGTTACCAGAACATCCCCCTGAAGGATGTTCTGTGGCAGTGCTGTGTGACTCCAGTGCAAGCTTCCTTCGAGTTCGAGATTGCCCGGTCCATACTTTTTTCCTGACCGTTCCCCTAACCCACTTAGCTCATCTATGCCCGAACCACCCTCGTACCGTGACGCCCTATTAGTTTAAGGGTGGAAAAAATATAGGGAAGAGTCCAGGAAGTTAGCAGTTTATCGCATGATTCACCACGAGGCGCATCAGCAGATGTCACAGAACTCATGTATGATTTATCAGCCTACATGTATGTGTCACTAGTCAACCTTTATGCGAAATATTTCCGGAATTGTTAAATTACATTTTACGTAATCGTATATTATAGGTATGACCTTTTAAATCTTGGTTTTATTCATGAAATTCAAACTCCACTTTTAAATAATATATTTTAATTTGCGTATATTACTGCAGTAGAAAAAATCGTGCTACTCCCAAAATTTGTTTATGTAACAGCCCTAGTAAAATAATCTCTAATTGTTCTTTTTGCATGTGCAATCTCAGCTGAAGAGCTATTATCAGTTTTTTCAGATTTACCTTCGACTAATGACTCTTTAGTATTTGGTGTGTCACATTGACCAGTTATCGAAAAGCCTTTGCAGTGTGCTTCATCCATTTTTGATTCAGATTTATTTGGTTGATTCCCATTTCCATCCAACATATCAAATATTTCTCCAATATCAGTTTTTGGTAACTTCTTTATTATACTTTCGGCGGATGTACCAGTTTTCGATTTAACGATTTTCCTCCGAGATGGAGAACTTGGTTGACTTGAAGGAATTATGTCTTCGAATGATGACGATGATGATAAGATTGGTGTTTCAATAACAAAATCCATACTTTCGTTAGTTATTCTTTCTTTTTCTGGTATATCCGATCTAGTTCTCAACTAAAAATTATTTCTTATTAATGATACGATTTGAGTAGGTACATTCTATTGAGTGATTATAATATATGAAATAAAATATAAATAGCAGTTTTGACAAAAAAGTGGATAAACACGGAATTAATTGGTCCTATACAGATGGCTAGCCACGACATCAATACGAGAGAAAATATTACGATTTATCCAATATGTTTTCCACGTGAAATGTTAATTTTTACGGGAACGTGATGTGGAAACGTCAAAAAAAATTTGTTCGACATCTAACATATCTTGGAATCTTTATTGACGTGACAAAAAAACGGATATTCAATAGGCTGTACCAAGTTAATAGTTACTCAAGGTAATTGGTTTTAAAACTTACATTTATATTTAAATTTCAATAATAATATATTTTATTTATCATGCAGAAAAACATGAATACATAAAATAACAACATAGTAACTAAAGTGAAAACAACCCTAGACATCCTGGAGAAGTTGTTAAAGATTTATCTTAAACAACCCTAAACTGAGCCAATTTGGCGATGCCCTTAAATTGTAACTAGTTTTTATTCAATTCCAATCCATCTCAAACATCCATATCCAATTCAACCACATTCCTAAACTTACCTTGTGCTGAAATGACGTGGAAGGGGTTATAGAGGCTGCATTATTTGGCGTAATTTTACTAAAAAAACTACTTATTGCTGGCTGCGTCTTACTATCAAAGTACGCTTGTTGGATAAACGAGTATAACTTATCTTCAGGTAAGTTTTTATGGGCAAACTGACCAAGGAACTTCCAGAGCTGGGCTAAAACCAAAATTAATTTTCAAATTGGATGTTACAACTAAGTGTGTTTGCATTGCTCAGGAGTATCAACTGAACGCAAATTTTAATATGGATAACTTCATAATTATTTCAGCAGTGGCTGTTAAACAGTGAGCAAGAATGCAATTATTATCAAAATAGCTATTTTTAGCCAAGATATATGAAGCTCACAAAATGTTGTAACGGAGTTTTAAACAGAATTGAGTTTTAATCTTTCTCCGAAGATGGTAGAATATGTATCGAAACGCGAGTCGGTGAATCAAGTGTCGGCAAAGGAGTAAAACTCGGTTACGTAACTTAAGCTAAAAAAGGAAAAGTAAATGTGGTACCCAGTCAGTTTAAGTTTCCATCTCAATTACATTAGGTAGGTAACCTATGGACTGAATCAGAAAAAATCGCTACATACAAAAACCTTAATAACTTACGAACCTTTGACAACATTCTAACGAAACAAAAATCGTTTTAAAGATGATATTACAAATAATTAAAAAAAAATGAAGCTGAAATAATTTGTGTTGAAAGAATTTTTTAAAATTTTTCTGGAATTCTTTCCATCATCGACTTAGCTAAATCGGTAGCTTTGTTGATTGTTCTGGAGGCAGAATTTTCGTTTCGGCGTTTTTTCCAAAGCTCTTTTTACCAAGACCCAATATCATGGGCTTCAATCAGGTATTTTGGTATTTTCAATTGGTATCAATACAGCTCTCTTACTGTAGTGACAGGAAGCCAAGTTTGGCCAAAAGAAAGTTGACTTTTCTTGACAAATTCTTCGCCCAGAATTTGGGAGAAGTCACAAGATGTACGTTTCGCCATCCACCAGACAGCAATCGTTTTTTTTTTGGAAATAATTAGTGTTCAATTTTCGAGCCAGTTTTTTTGGCTTCCATATTCTTATTTGCATTTCTGTCTGGTGTTGTCTGAAGTCTTGAAGCCCATCTTGGGTTCGACGTACGGTGCCCTCACTGCAACCTACTTTATTGCCCATTTTTTGTTTCCACTACTTTGTTTCCGATTGGATAACCTATGATTCTTCTCCAATTTCCCGACAAGTTTCTTCACCGTTTGTAGGCGTGTAAATCCACTTTTTGGCTAACATTTAATGATTGCTTGAACCGCTTAATAACATTTGATACGGCCGTTCTAAGAAGTTCCAGCTCTGTGAAAATTTTTCGATGGGTCCACGATAGATTTTAATGAAAATTTCGAATTGGTAATGTACAGTTCGACGCTTAATATGTTAAAATCATTTAGGCGTTCTAAGGAAGAGTCTCCTATGATTGGAATTTATGTTTTTTCATTTTGTGAAGAGTTAGAACGGTTTTTCTGTATAGCGATTTTTTCTCACTCAGTCCTTACACCCTTTTGAAAATTTCAGCATTTAGCGTTCCTTGAAATATTCTGCGAAAATCCAGCAGTCAAAAAATAGCATGAATAATCTCTTATTCACATAATTGATAGTAATATCTGTTTTAAGTGTTTTCAATATTTGAAATCTTTCAGAATGGTTTTGTTTCAGTTTATACTATTTTAGTAAATACTGTATGTAGTGTTAAATTATGCGGTATCTTGATGGTTTTTATTTTATTTTATTGTGTGTGAATAATACATTTATATTTATTTTTTTTATATATTAAGTTGAGTGCCCTTAAGCACTGAATAACCAGTTCATCATTATTTAAGCCCATTATAGCGTCCACTGTGGAATCTAGGCTTCTCGCAAACTAATCCAAACTGTACCACTCATGCCTATTCTGCGCGACCTGCATCCAGTTCGTTCGGTTTCTCCTTAAGTCGTCCGTCCTCGGATCTCGTCGGGGGGTGGTCCTCTACTTCGATAGGCCTCACATCGTGATCTCCATTCGATCGTCTCCAGCTCTCGCAACGTGACCTGCACAGTTCCATTTTAAAGAGGATATTTTCTTTACTGCATCTGTAACTCCTGTCTTGAGCCGTATATCTCTGTTATGTATTCTTTCTCTAAGTGATACCCCCAACATCGATCTTTCCATTGCTACTTGTGTTGTTCTTATTTTATTAATCGATTTCCTAGTTAGTGTTGGGGTTTTGGCTCCATACGTCATGACTGGCAGGACACATTGGTTAAAAAGTTTGGGCTTTATACATATGGGGAGTTCAGACTTGAATGATTCTCTGAGGTTGCCAAATGCTGCCCATGTCAAACATATTCTCCTAAAGATTTCACAGGTCTGATTATCCCGGTCTATTCGGATTTCGTGGCCCAAGTATTTATATGATGTCACTTGTTGTACTTCATTATCATCTAAGGGTATATTGATGGATACTACTAGATTAGTCATAAATTTAGTTTTTGATATGTTGATTTTTAGCCCAACTTGTCCGGATGCCTGGTGGAGTTTTTCAAGAGATGTTCTGGCATTGTCAATACGGTCTGAGATTAAAACTACATCATCGGCGAACCTGAGATGGTTGAGGTTTTCACCGTTGACATTAATACCCATATCATCCCAATCTATTCTTTTACACATGTATTGAAGTAATATATTAAACAGTCTAGGGGAGATAGTACCGCCCTGTCGAATTCCACGATTTATATTAAATTTGTCAGTATCGGTAAGGAGTCTAACATGAGCTGTGGCAGTGTCATAGATGCTCTTTATGAGTGCTATATAGCTCTAGCATCTCATGTTGGTCCACAGTATCAAAAGCTTTTTCATAGTCTACAAAGATCAACACCAGTGGTTTGTTGTATTCGAGATTATCACTTGTAGGTGGTCGTTAGTACTATAGCCAGAACGAAAGCCAGCCTGTTCACAGGGTTGGTAGCTGTCAAGTTTGTTGGTGAGTCTATTGGTCGATAACTGGCATTTCTTGTGCATAATTATGTGACAGCACTCCCATTGAGAAGGTGTTGTACTCTTTAGTAGGCAGGCAGTGAATGAATAATTTTCTGATTACATATAGCAAAGTTGATCTTCCTTCCTTGATATACTCAATTGTTGTCATCATCGCCAAGCGATTTGTTATTCTTCATATTTTTTATAGCTGACTTAATCTCTGGGATATCTTCCAATCTCAAGTTCTGGACTTTTGGTATTTGCTGTTGGGTTAGTGGCTCAGCTTGGTTTGAATATAGCTCTGAATAGAAATCCGTCACTACTTTAAGCAATTCCTCCCTGCTCGTTACAATGTTCCCATTTTTATCTGCTAACTTCTAGATGTTTCTTTTGCCCAAATTTAGTATGTCTCGGAGTACCTTCATGCTTTTATTTTCTTCAATCGTTTTTTCTACCTGTGATGTGTTATATGTGCCTTTTCAAATAGCTTTAGAGATGTCTTTATTTAGCTGTCTTAAGGAGGTATAGTTTATTGTATATGTGTCCAACACTTCCCTTCTACACTTCAACATATTTAATGTGTTTGTACTCAATTTTTCTTCCCCTTTCCTAACTTTACTACAGCTTTCTTTTCTGGCTTTTTGTATCGTATGGATAATTTGTTTCTTCAGGTCTTCAACGTTTATGTGTTCTTCATTTATGTTTTCAACATGTAGATTAGACGTAACCATTGTTTTATAGACATCTATATGACAAATGTGGTTCTGCTTAAGCATACGTGTTCCAGATATAATATTTTCTCATTTTTTCCTTGTGTTGATTACAATTTTTGTTCGGACTAGACGATGGTCACTGCCCACGGTGAAATTGTTTAGCACGGTGTTGTATTATATCCTTTCTATTTTATATTATAAAATCAATTTGGTTCTTCGTAACATCGTCGGGACTCAGCCAAGTCCACTTGCGCTGGTCACACTTTTTAAAAAAGGATTAAAAAAAAAAGAATAACCAGTTGTATGGATTAAATACGCACGTGAGGGAGGCATTATTGCGCGCCAGGTGGTCCCCCGGCCGATATTCGCGAAATTTACCATGGTTTTAGCATGCTTCCAGGTATCTGATCGAAAAACTGAAATGTACGTTTTGTAGTGCACGATGTCAACTTTTCAAAAGTTTTTTTGAAATTACAATGAGACTTACGGTTAGGCATACAGGTCGGCCGTGAAAAGACAAACTGCAAACTTTGAATCGCAATTTTCAGAAAACTAATAATTTGAAATTTTTGAGAAAACTTATAACCCGACATTGGCACATATAAAGAACATTATAATCACTACTTCCGCTCAAATTTTCCATCTCAAAAAATGCCGGAGCTATACATTTTGGAAAAAAACGCCCAATTTGACGGCTTTTCCTGAATTTCTCAGAAACTAATTATCCGATTGAGGCGTTCGACCTTTCATGTTGTAGATATTTTTATTTTCGAGAAACCATCTCGTAGAGACATTCCGATTGCTTCATTAGTTTCAAAGTTATAAACAAAAATCGCGTTTTTGCACTAAATTGTTAATAACTAACATGTGAACCGGAAATGCGAGTGGAAAACACATACCTATTCATCTGCTCATTTCGCTCAATCGCACAATTCGTTTGCTACCAGTCTTTTTGTCACGATAAAGCATTTTTAAATACATAAAGCTTGGTCTACTAGTAATTTGGTATAAGTTGCAATGTTTATATTGTGATGAATTTTAATTGTTGTTCGCAACGGAGAATAAAAGGACCAAATCGAAAGAGGTTTTTCATCTTATATGATAATTCTTGGAAGTAAGCTAACAAGTTATCTGCTATTTGTATAACATTTGGGGGTGCTAAAGTGTTGCTTAATATTTTATAAAGAGGTATTTATTAACAGCTCAGTTTCAATTTACTAATTTAGCAATTTTAATTGGCGGTCAGACAGAAATTAACCGTAAGAGAACTGTGCGTTTGATCTACAATGCGTAAAATGTAACTGACTTGCGTAAGATGGTTGGTAGTCTCTTGTATCACTGTAAGTAGTGGTCGTAGGTAAAGTGTATTAAAAAATTGCTTACCTTCTTTTAAATTTCACAGCACGCCACTGGTGTTACATTAATACATATCAACACTTATAAGAACAAACCTGTTGTAATTTGGTTGTTTCCCAAAAACAGATGCATATTATAAAAACTTTCCATCAGTTCCTCGTCGCCAAAAGAATAGTAAACCAAGTTTCTGTTTGCTGCATTGCACGCGATAAGCTGAATTAGAGTTTTAAGCTGTTTGCTGCCTTGAAATGCTCCACAGCCCCAATTTCCAGTAGCCACGGGGGCCACGTTACAGTTCTCTCGAGTGCTAAACCCGACATAGGCCTATAACAAACGTTCTAAATAAATAATAAACTATACAATGCCAATATTATATAATTCGAACACCAATAAAACTTTTTACACCGTAAATGCCGTCATGAATTTCTGATGTAAGTAAGTGCAGATTTGAAGATCTGCTTATCTCAGGCACCCCTAGGACCGGTTTCAAGCCTAATAGCTCTCGTCAGCCAGCTGATTTACAGCTCAATCCAGATTTAGCCTGATAATCACACCCGCCAATACTGCACTTTTTTCGCACCGTTGCAAAATACATCGGCGAAATAGTGCATATTACTTCTTCTTCTTCATTCTTGATTTTACGCAAATCGCCTGTTCAATTATCGTTCATGCTTGCGTGCGGCTGTCGCTCCATCGTTTCCTGGGGCGCCCAATGGGAGTTGTCACGAGCGATTCTGACAAGTCTGCGGTGGTCCATCCTGCTTATGTGCGCATTCCATTCCTTCTTCCTGTTTGCTACCCATTCATTGATGTTCTTGACATTACAGGCTGTTCTGATATCCTTGCTTCTCTCTCTTTCCAGCAGTGTATTTCCGGTGATTCTACGGAGTATTTCCATCTCAGCTGTCCCTAGGAGTCTTTTGGTTTTCGCTGTTTCTGGCCTGGTTTCTGCGTTATATGTTATCACCGGCCTCACGGCGGTTTTGTAGATCCTCGATCCGATAGTGTCCGTTCCCACACCCTTCTTGCACCATATGGCATTTAGAGAGCCAGCTATTCTAATTGCTTTTGTTGTTTGATCTCTCACCTCTGGCTCAATAACCCCAAAGCCGGAAAATTCCACACCAAGGTAGTTAAATTTCATTTTCTGCTCGATTACTTTACCGTCAAGTTCCAGTATGCATCTTAGAGGGGTTTTTGATGTTGTTAAGCACTTTGTTTTGGTCGGTGATATTTCCATATTTAGAGACTGAGCTGTCAGGTTGAATAAGTGTAATAACCTTTGTAAGTCATCTTCACTTCCTGCAATGAGAGCGGCATCGTCAGCATAACACACTATTTTGATTTCTGCATCCCCCATTTTGAATCCCTTTAGCCCTCGAACACTTCGAACAATTTCTTCCATTATTAAATTGAAAAGTGTAGGACTCAGGGAGTCTCCCAAACGAATACCGCCACCCGCTGGTATTGGTTCTGTAAGGTCTCCTTCTATTTGCGCTCGTATTTTATTGTTTGTATATATGTTCTCTAGGGTTTTAATCAGATTGTGTTGGATTTGCCTGTTGTAAAGGAGATGCAGGACGTCTTCAGCTTGACACGGTCAAATGCTCTGATTAGATCAATAAAACATATCAACGCTGGCTGGTTGTATTCAATCGACTTTTCGACTATTTGTCTTAATACGAACACGGCGTCTGTGCAAGATCTTCCCGATCTTATCGATCGAAAGGTTTATTCCTCTATAATTTAATGGTATCCTCTTGTTCCCTTTTTTGAACATTAACACAGTAGTGCTGGTTCGCCGTTCATCTGGGATTTTGTGTTGATATATAATTTTCTGTATTAACGTTGTTAATTCTTCTGTTAGTCTTTGCCCACCGTATTTGAGCAATTTATTTTGTATACCGTCTTGCCCGGCGCTTTTTCTATTTCTTAGTTTCTGTAGAGCGGTTTCTACGTCCGATGTATTGACCATGGCATCTTCGTTAATATTTATTTCTGGTGCGGTAGGCTCGTCTGCCGTGTTTTTCGTTTTATACAGATCGGTTAAATATCTGATCCACTCTTCCTTTTTCGTGTGGGTTAGTTCTAGCAGTTCATTTACCCCCTTTCTGTGCAATATTATGAATCGCCATATCTGCTTTTGATGCCCGTAGTCACCTTCCAAGCGCTTGGAGAACATTTCCTCGTTTTCGATTTTTCTCATTAATTCTTTAGTTTTGTTCCGAACTTGCTTATATTCATTATATGATTCTGGCGTTCGCATAGTACAATATTTTAGGTAGGGTTTTCTTTTTTCCTTTGCACTGTTCCTAGACTTCTGGGCGGAACCATGGTGTCTTGTGGTTGATTACTGGGTCCACTTTTATAGTTCGTTCTCCAAGTGCCTCCCTTGCTGAATTCTTGATATTATTCTTGATTTTTTCCCAAGCTAGATTGATGTCGTTAGAATTTAAAATTGGGTTTTTTTCGATTTTTTGTTGTTGTTTTGCAGATTTAGGAAGTGCTTTATTCAGGCTTAGTCTAGCTGGCGAGAGCCAATAAGCTCGAAACCGGCCTTAGAGATGCCTGAGATCATATGAGAAGTGCATAACTCGAAATTTGCACTTGCTCACACCAATAGACAATTGGTCAATAATTCTATTAAAACATTTTGAATTTTTTAATTATTGATCAATCACAAAAGCATACCCGTTGGAGTAGTCTAGCATTCCTCAGTGTTAAAGAATAGACCGAAAATAGGCTGCTGTGATTGGCTTAGATTGCCAAGTGCGCAATAATAACAACGCTGCTAACCATACTTTGAAATATTTTAATAATAGCAACAAATTGTTGACTGCATAGAGCTCTGAGGTTTCATATTAATTTTCGTTTCATCTGTCTTTCTAGCCTTGAGAAACACCCGAATGAAGAGTTGGAACGTTGGCCATTTTTAGAAGATAAAAAGAGTTTTGAACCCAGTCCCAAACCCGCTATCCAAGCATTCTTATTTTTTGCTTCGTGTTATCTTTTGTCAATTTTCTATAACAACCAACATATTTGCGGATTGAAAAACTTTTCTATGTCTAGTAATAATACAGGGCCCGGCAATAAAATGGGAAGATTTGGGGTGGAGTTGACACAACGTCACAAAGTGGAGGGGACGAAAGTCACCTTTTGGTTATGTGTGGTCATGGCCTGCCATTAGTTTACAATGGCAGGCAAAGGGCAAAAAGTGAGGCAAAGGATGAGGCTGAAAATGAGCTGACTGTTAATTCTAAGCGATTTGTTGCAATGATTCAGAACTTTCACATCACATCTTGCTCGCATTCGAACAAAAACACACTTTTTTGCACAAGCAACACTGTAAAAATATCAATAAATGCATTGAATGTTTTGCTTCTGGGACACATTATTTGTCGCAATCAGAATTTGAATTGGCCTCCTCGGTCTCCCGACCCCACAGCCTGCGACTTATTTTTTATGGGGGCACCTAAAACGAAAGTTTTTCAAATTGATCCACCCAGGACAATCCCAGCCTCAAACAACGAATTAGAGACGAGATTGCAGCAATTCCTATCAATTTGCTGCACAGTTATGCAATCTTTCCAGGATCGATTGCAAGAATGCATAAATCGAAGCGGAGGTTATTTGACTGATGTAAAATTCAGAAAATATTGTTTTTTCCATTTGTATACCAAATGGCTATTCTTGAATTTTTTATTAAAATTAAGGAACTTGGACCTTGATACCCGATTGAATAGCCATTTAGATAACAACCCCCTATAAATGCCGCTACCCAGCAGACAGACTTTAGACTTAATTTTCATTTATAAGCAGATTGTTGCTGCTCCTATATTATAAACACTCACTCTGTAAATTGTATTAATTAAAAATTGTTTTAAAAAAGTTGATTTCAATACCAACTTATTTAATTGGCGCTGCGAACAGGATAGTCAAAGGTGATCAGTTTATTACCGTGTATTTTAATACTTTATTGACTATCTGAAGACCTGAAAAGAAGAAACAAGAAGTTTGTGCCTGGTACCTGACATGAAGATACTATCTGAGTAAGTTACAT